GTATTACATTGACCGAAGATGAGTGATCGCAATGCAGCAAGACGCATACTTATATGGTCGTAAGTGTAAGGGTTGATGATGATTCTTTCCATAATATAAAAATGCACAAGTTTAAATTATAACTTGTGTAAACGAATCAAGGTTAAAATGTATTCTATGTAATGTACACTACTGTCTACAAAGTAATAAGGGAAACATTTGAGTTTAAATCTGAAAACACGTTTTGGTTTATTTATATAAATCGCCGCAGCTAACGTAATGAAGCGCGTCCTATGACAACGGCATTCTGGCATTTTGATTGGACATGAATTCCTGGTCGATTTTTGCAAATGCTTTGGTACGTATCCTTGTCAACTCTTGCAACTGCAGGAGTTTCTTTGAATATTAATGCGTTTTTTGGTTTCAATCGAGGATTGCTTTGGAATCAATTTCATTTTACCTTCATTTCTTTCTACATTTTCTTCATTTTTTATTGTTTGTCCGAAAATCTAATTCTTCGTGGGCGAAGGGCATTTTTTATTTGTTTATGGGAACTTTTATCTTTTGTTAATAGTTTTTCACTATCTGGTTGTCCCAAGCTTCAGTTCTTGACCTGACGATGGCAAATTTTCTGGACGTTTTGAGGCAACATGATTTTGTTCTCGTCAATTTTTATGCCGAGTGGTGCCGTTTCAGTCGCGACTTAGCTCCAATATTTTTGTCAACGGGTGAGAGCGTCGTTCAGGAATTTAAGGATGGCAAAGTTGTACTTGGTCGTGTGGATTGTGATGATCAGGGTGAGTTATCGTGTTTTTTCATTTTTTCTCATGTTTTACTTATTTATTTGTGCAATAAGTGAGGCTTTGTTTCGCCTAAGATGCCTGCAAACTTTTTAAATTTTTCTTTTTTTTTTTGGACTTTTTTGCTGCTGACCATAAACCTTACATCAATGAGAGTAATATAACAATGGCAACTTATGACTTTGATCTTTTACCTGGTTGCTGTTCTACTTAAGCTAGGAATAGTGGGCTGATTATGACAAAGTATACGGGAATATGACCAATTGCGGTTGAAGTCAAGAGGGGAGAGTTGATGCGGTAGATAAGTGAGCACATTGCTATTTCTATATTTTGGGCTCTCTGGTATGCCTCGCGTTATGACAAGAATTGACCGAAAAATTTTCCTTTAGCCAGTTTACTCGGACTGAACTCGTAGCCTTTGTAACTGTCATCAGCCGGGGAGAATGAGTTATCAACAAAGCATAAATACATTAATATAGGATGAGGAACCACTAATTATATAATTCCACTACAACTAATTAGTAAATTCTTCCACGGCTGGAAATTGCCTCACTTTTGATATCCACCCAATAATTTTTTAATTACGTTGCGAATTTGGTTGACATTGATAGAATGTTAGCTTGAATATGTTCCTGCCTTCTGATGCTGTATGCATTCATAATCCTGAAACGCATGCTGAATGGGATGGTTGTGCTACTTGTACGTCTCTCAGTCTCGTTTCTGAGTTCTGGAATGGTAATGTCCCGTTTGGCCGGGGGATTACCGCCTTCTTTTTGCTCTGGCAAGGATTGCCTTTTTGTCACTGCATGATTTATAGCGTACCCTCCTTGAAAACGTGCACTTAGCCATTCCCGTGATTACATTTCTCGGATTTGGTAGATCTGCCAAGCGCATGTTACACTCGCAAATGTATTTGGCTTCGCCTCCTCACTATGAAAAAGCCTATATTTGTTCTCGTAAGTGATGGGCCACTTAACTCTCATTTATCGTAACATAGAAGCCAGTTTACGTCAGGTATTGGAGTCGGCAAGAGTTGGTTTTGAAGCTGCAGAATGCTTGATTAAAAGTTCCGGAAGCGCTTTTAAATATTCTCATAAAGCTCGCATTTGCATTCGCCCCACTTCCTCTTGGCGAACGATGTGCGTATTTCGTATGTTAATCAACATCCACGTAAGCATTTGTCAGAAAGCTAGATTATCATGATTAGCTCACGGGAAACAGTATATTTGCCCTTTGCTCTGAATCTTGCCTTTTTCGCATCTTAGCTATTTGGACTTGCTATTTTTGGCTTTGCGAAACACAATGTTTCTTTTAGACTTCCCTTTCCTAGCTATTTTTGGTGCAGGATCCAAAATTAGCTGTTTTGGCAGCCCTTAATCATAGCACGCGATGTAGAGGTACAAACACGGATAACTGCTATTACCTGACAGACCGAACGATAGCGATTTCAACTCCACTTTTTGCTGCTGTTCTTGTTTACCTGTGAACACTTGTTTACGGATCTGCATCAAACTACTTGGGATGCTGAATCTACCTCGTTTATGAGCTTGAATGTGCTATTTAGAGTTGTTCTTACAACCAGCGCTGCCCATTCGCTTTGAATACCTTAAGTGAACCGGTAGAGAGGTGGGTACAGAGGATCAACTAGTGGATTAGGTGATTCCGGGACCTTGAGGTCATTTGTCCTAAGTCATTGATAGCTTTGCACCTTTCATTTTCACAGAGCAGGACTTGAAGTCACTACTCCAACTGTTTGTATTTTCTCCTTGTCTTAGGAGCCCTCTGCATGTCACAGGGAGTGTCAAAGTACCCAACACTGCGGCTTTTCAAATTTACACGACGCTACGGCAGCGAGTATCGAAATCAACGATCGGTGGAGGCCTTTCTGGCCTACCTTCGTGAACAAACGGCAGATCCTATAAAGAAACTGACCTCATTGGTGCGTTTCTATAATTTTTTCCCCTTGTGAGTTTATTCCATAAATTCTCCTTCTTCATCGGAACATTGTTTGGTGAAAATAGTTGGGCCTAATTGCAATCATCTCCGCTCTTGTCTCATCTTCTAAGAATGTGATTTCGCCATATCACGGCAATGCTCTGGAGCTTGTATGAAAAGAGGTGTTTTAATGGAGTTTTATCGCCTGTCACCTCTCCTCTTCTGTTCTCCAATAATATGACCTCCTGACTGTTTTTGGGGTATTTTCTCTTGATCCGTTATAATTGTTTAGCCGCACGTTAGTAAATGGCATATTCCAAACCTTTGAAGCTCATTGTCAACAGGTAATGCGGAGTATGAAGGAGGGGCATTTGCTTGGCCTCTACTTCGATCGCCTTCTTATTCAGATTGCTGCATCCTTTGTCTATTTGGTACGAGTTCATTCGAACACTGTTTCGCAATCGCATTCCACATCCCATTCAACGAATTTGTCAAGAAGTGAGTTAATTACGGTTTGTGAAACAATACAGTCTTCATTTGCATTCAAAGCTAGGCCGAGCTTGGCGCAGGCAGAAGTGCTTTTCCCTGTCACAAATTTTTCGCATTAATTCTTGGTAGCCAACTTGTCTTTGTTGAATTGCAACAGTAAGTAAACAAAATTATTTCGATGTCACTCCTAGCTTAACCTTGTAAATATGTGCATTCTATCTACCACCGAAGCGACAGTCTTTTCAGAGATTTTAGTTTTTTTTTCGCTAACCATTTTCTCAACGGTCTTTGACTTTAACCAACGACTTTCTTTGCCGAAAGAAATGAATTCGTAGAGAATTGATGGTTTCGCATCAACTCCTGCAACTTCCCATCTTAAATGTCTGGAGGATCGATTGTTGCTTGCAAGAGCTCTTTCCTCATCAAATTAAGCCCTATCCCACTGCCGTGTAGAAATCGCGTGGGTGATTAGTTTGTCCCTCTCAGTGATGAATTTTAAACGAATCGACCAAAAGCAGAGCATCTCTTTGAAGTTCCCACTGTGTGATCCTTGAACAGTTTTCTTTCCACTTGAAGATTCGTACTGTCAGTGAGACCTTTTGGTACGATCTGCTTGATTTCTAGCACCAGTCTTTTCGGTTATTCTCACCAGCGTTCAGTATGTTCCCCCATTGTGAAGGAGTTTCTTGATGCTGAGATTGCCTTCATTCTTAACGCTAGTTTGTTTTTCTCTGACAGGCGGAGGTGGACGGTTTGACAACCCAACGCAATCTGGTGGGCATATTTCCCACCATTTCAAATGACAATGCAGCCTACATGAACTTCTACATGGTCTCTCACCTCGTCGGCGATTGCACTTTCTATGGAGTGGAGGAGTAAGTTCAACCGACTTGATTCCCATTTAACCAATGGAATAACAGAAGTACATTGAAAGCGTTCTTTGGAATCAGGTTGTCAGTCGCAAATCCACGTCTTCTTTCACTTTAGCAAGAATGCCACAGCATCGGTCGTCAAGTTTATCCTCAAAAAGGTTCGCTCACTTCCATCGTCATAATTCTTCTTCCCCGTTTATCCACCTTCACCTTTGAGCTTGAAGTTCATTGTCTTTTATCTACAAGTTCCCCTCTGATGGAGACACAAAGCACCAGCAACTGACTCTGGCGAGAGAGGAGGTAGCAAATCCGGAAACGGTGACCGACTTTGAGGCGCTGCGTAAATGGGCTGTGGAGCGTTGCACGCCCCTGGTACGAGAGTTGACCTTTGCGAATGCGGAGGAGATCACTGAGCCACGGCTGCCCCTTCTCATTCTCTTCTACCCGCCTAATGACTTCTCTGCGGCGATGAAATTTAACACCCTTATGGAGGAGCACTTTGGCGATCTTACTGGTGCGTCACTGCGTAAATTTATCATACAGATGCCTTATTTCCGAAACCAAAAGTCTCCAAATTCAGTAGACCGATTCACCTTTCTTTGATCAGTTTATCCCTGGCTGTCTAAGCTCTACCGAAGTCCCTTTTCAGTACATTGGCTAAACCCACTCTTCTTAGGTCGCTTTGTGCCTCTGGTGGCTAATGGAGAGATCTTCTCTCATCCTCTCATGCACATGGGCAAGTCGGTAAATGATCTTCCCTTGCTGGCAATCGACTCATTCCAGCACATGTTCCTCTACCCTGGAAATTTGGACGAAGCACTCAAAGACCCGAAGTACATCAAACAGTTTTTGGCTGATCTTGCCTCAGAAAAACTTCATCGACAGTTCCACGGCTTCCCCGAACCTCAGAACGAAGCGGTGAGTCGTCGTACCTCTTTATAGGAACTCAAACGGGTTTGTGAATGTTGGTTAGTTAAATGACGGAATTGTATTGTCCCTACTCATCTAGCCGCAGAAATCTTCATTGGAGGATAAAGTAAGTTTTCTGGTCACCGTTTTACAGTCGAAATGCATGCAATTCACTGTTCTCATGCGTCTGTATAGTGTGACATCAATAGGGAAACAATACCGAAAAGTGAGTGCAGGGGTAGTACTTTGCCATGACTGCTGAAATAGATATCATTCACATTTGTCCTTTACCTATGTGGCATGCAGACAACAACGTCAAGTGGCAATTCTACAAGCATCTTATGTTTTGTTTTAATTCCCAAATCAGGATCGGAAGCCCGAGGAGGAAAAAAAGCCGGCCCCTGCTTCATCTGTCTTCAAACTCCTGACACCGTCCAGCAATCGATACAGTCTGCTAAGGGACGAACTATGATAGATCTGATTCGGGGTAGTCACGGTTGTTCTTTTACTGTTCTTTCGTTTGTTACCACCTCCTTGTCGCTTTCCTCTCTTTTCTACCGGAAAGTCGGTTCATTGTACATTCGTCCTTCAGTCACGAGTCGCATTACGTATACATATTGGGTATTAGAGTGGAACGATGAGTTCGTGTTGTTGATTTCAGAGAAGAGAGTTGTGGAATATGCCGTCAAGGGGAGAATGTGAGTCCAGCTCGCTGGGGCGCTGGGTCGTTCCGGAGAAAGTGGCATGTGTTTTAAATGCGAGTTAAGGGTGTGGCGTCTAGAGACTTTCCATGTGGTGGGAGGAGGTGGTAAGTGGGGCTGGATATGTAGTTCAAGGAAAGTGGAGCAGGTGGGTTCGGACATGCCCTAAAGGCCAGCTTGCCAGTGCGAAGGTCAGACAACGTCAACAGCGACCACCAAACGCTAGGCAGTTAGGGTAACGGAGCATAACATAGCGAATTTCGATTTATCAGGAGGGAGAGTGCAATGGCACATAGGTGACTAGCTCACGAAAGCCATGTCGACATAAATAAACACGTAAGAATTCTAATATTAAAAATTCTGCAACGAAAAAATGTAAAACATTTGTGTATATAATTAAAGATGTTTGTGGCTGTAACTTCATCGAAATGTTTTATTCAACTGATGAAGGGTATGTATCTCGCAGAGATTGACCTTGGGGGGAACTTAAACAACTTTTAAAGTTACGGAGCGTTTTTTGAACGCGTTTCTGCATTGGTTTTGTGGTCGGTACGTGAGGGATTGCATAATCTTGAGCACTTTTTCTAGCAATGTAACGATAACTAGAATGTGTGCCTCATATGCTAAGTAGTTTAAGTCATGGCTATTCGTTTCGAGACATGTTTCATTGAAGAAAATATATTAATTAGAAAAGAAGCTATTTTCTTTATCATATTTTGCACTTCAATTTTTCCAGTCTCAACTCTTTTTCCTCTATATACATGTATTTTTGTATTGAATCTAGGCTAGGTTTGTTGTTTCTATGTTTCTATGTTTGTTGTTTTCTATGGCAGCGGAAGCATTTTACATGCAACAAAGCTTATATAGTCTGTGAAGAACTGGACTAATTAAGCTACACTGCAGTAATGCACAAAATGTTGTCTAAGTATTTCCACTTCAGTGGCTTTACGTGGGTCTTCTTCTCATTTGATCTCTTTTGAATCTTTCTTCGCTCTTGTTCGGATTAATTAATACCTTTTCATTTGTCTTCTCAAAGAGTGCTTTACATTTTAAAATTCGCTTATCATCTCATTTTAAATGCTGTCTCACTTTTTCGATACGAATTTACCACAAGTCCTTCGGACATCACTGATTTTCTTCTTATATGTACATTTATTGACTAAATTTGTGTTGACACTTAAATACATATCCTATTACTGTGAAACTTAAATGATTTGAAGTGAATCGAATGGCTTTCCTAGATTCCGTACAGGTTGTTCTAGCGGGTAATTGAATTTCTTTTGTCCGTATATTTGTTTGCTCTGAGAAACATTTCACCTTTTAGCCAAGCAAGAATGTACCTTTTTTCTGTTGATAATAATTCCCCACGAAGACGCCATTTATCCATTCCTGCGCTTGTCAAAATTAAGTCGATCTCAAATGATGTGATATAGAGGTCTTCATTTTAGAAATTGATAATGCTTCAAGAGATTTTATAAACTGCATTTGTTTCATGTCACTTTATTTGTTCTACATGTGACTACTTACATCAAAATGGATATTTGGATTGGTAGTCTTGAGCCCCTCCCTTTCGGACATGATTGTGAACATGACTAGTTGATTCAAAGTCACACAATTCTTCAGCCTCTCTTTTTCTCCCTTTTATTTATGTCACGTGGTAGTGAAAAGTCGCATAGGACCTTATGAAAGCTCTCCCTTTCCACTAGCCACATAAACCTCTTCGCCGTCCTTCTTTTTTCCTTCAAACGAAAGCCGCTCTATTTATAAGCCAAACCGCCCTATTTTTTTTCCCCATGGAAGGAACAAACACGTCATAGTTGAACTTACGAGATGTATGAACCTTCTGCAAATGCTAAATTAAAAGACAATTGATAAAAAGGAACAATATTCCCATCAACTTTTGAGATATGTATAGCTGTATGGCACACAGATTCATTGCTATTAAAAATTTAGAAGCTTGTAATTAAAGGTGGTGCTTTTAGAGACAACACCAGACTCCCATTAATCAACCACCTTCATTTGTCTTCCTGTACTGCCTCACTGTGCTAGAGTTTGGAGTTGGAGATGAGAGCAATTTAGACCTCACACTTTGGTGATGGTAGAGGGAAGAGGAGCGGCGGAGGAGGGGTCCAGGAGACCCGATTCACCACAGAGGCATCACGTGACAACTCTTTCCTGCTGAGCCAGTTGTGATGCCATCCTGAGTGTCACTTAGGCTGAGAAACTGAAGTAAAAAATGCAGTAAAAAGGAAAAGAACCTTCTGCACTCTCATTCTCAATGTCGTGATATGAATGCGGGTGGTGAGACTCTTGCCGGGGTAGAGAAGTGCAAACAACAGCAAAGACAACTTTATAGGATAGGCAAGTGCTAAGAGCCTGACCCAATACTCTCAATGAGTTTGGGCTATTTTTGTCCACCAAATTCACTACTAAAGTCTATTTTGTGGAATTGTATCCTCCAGACAACTCTAAAATCCACTCTCCTTTGTCTCCTATAAAACCAGACTCAATGCTCTAATCCTTTGGGCTAAAACTTACATTTATTTATTCGCTTCAGTAGATTTCATGGTTTTAATGAAATAACTTTTGAACACTTTTTTAACAACGATAAAGATGAGATCGGGAATGGACCTAAATCCAATTGACCTTTTAGGCGTGACCGCAAATTTAAAATGTTCAAAGCATAAAATGGGATCTGACCCCAAATACGGGGTGACTATACTAGATTGGACAGCGTGCAGGCGAACAATTCAATGTAGACTTATTTTCTCCTTTACATTTCGTTGGCATCGCAAACCGAAGAGTTAGCGATCTCAAATATTTTTCGTCTATTTTCCACCCCCCTTATATTGTACCTAAAATATGGATATCTAAAGGGAAGGAATTTGTTGCCTCAACTGTTTGAGATGTCCCGAGAAGGGGGGAGGGGTGAGATGGGAGGAATTGCTGCCGGGAGAGCTTTTATACCTAGGCATCCGGAAATCGCTAGAAAAATTTAATTAATTAGTGTTAATAAACGTCTGAAAGTGAATAATTGGAATTTAAAATCAGCTAGGGCACAAATTTATGACCTTCGTCAACTTAGTCATGGATCAGACCCCCTCCTCTCCTGCGCTGAGGTGGTAACCAATCGGAGGTCAGAGCGGTGATCGATCAATGCCGCTCGGAGGGAGGGCGGTGCACGCATGCGCGCCCTGTATGCGTATCCTTAGTCCGAAATTCAATATTTTCTTTTTGTTAATTTTTTTAACAAAGAAATTTAGCTTGTTAGGGGAAGAATAAAATTTAGAAAAAGTAGATTTTTAAATTTGTTGTAATAAGCAATCGCCAATTGTCAATAAATTCGCGAAGTCTGTATATTTAAGTGGAAAATAATGGCCAAAATAATCTTTAGCGCAAAATCGCGTTAACCCAAGCAGTAGATGTCTTGGCATAGTTTTTCAATTTACATAAAATACTTTCAAAGGTGACTCTAGTCGTTCGGGTTAAATGGCAAATAGGAAGTGTTTCGGGGCGGAAATGGCTACTTTAAATTAATCAGGACTGTTAAATGTGTGAATGTCATTAGTTGCCAATTAAAATGGTCATAAAACTCAATTCCAGCCTTTTAGATTTTCAGAAACGGAATCAAATTAGTTAAGAAAATCCAGTTCAGGGAAGGGGAATAGTTTACCTACCAACTTTGAGGAAGCAAACGTTTAACTTTTTCCATGGAGGAGAATTATATGGTTTTAATCATACTATCAGTTGCTTTTTTTCAAATTTATTTGTTATATTTTAGCTCTTAAGACTTGTTTTTGAGTTTGAACTTCACATATCCCTAATGTTCTTCAATTGCTCTTCCAAATTTTAAATGAATCAATTGCACTTGCGCCACCAATCAGTGAGTGAGGCGACATGAAGAATTCGATTTAAGAGGTGATTTTAGGTAATGCAACTAATCAATCTTGTAGGGATTTATTTGTGAAAGGGACAGTCAAATATTCGACCTTAACATATTTTCATCGTGACTATGGTGTCTCCTTTCGCTGTAGCCTCAGTGGTTCTTATAGGTCGACGCTGCTATTAAGTAGGGAAATTAACCGTCCTGAATTTTGGTTCCTGGCTTGGAATACATTGCAACCCGGTTGTCACGCCAACCATCATAGCATCTCGGTAATGGACACGTGTCATGCATTCGTGACGAGGGGTCAGGTTATATCCACACCTCTCCCAGTAAACAAACCCCTTTATTTGTAGTTCTTTTTGTCCTACACCATCTATTTGCGTACAAAATGCGAGTGTGCAGGAAGGGGGCTAATGGAGCCACACTTTGTTCCCTTCTCATTGATTGTCACGTGCATTCTGTCTTTTTGGGTACATTAAAGTGACATCTCTCATAGTTGTGTTCATTCTTACCGCCCTCCACTGTCTTTACCTCCTTCTCTATGTTCATCTCCAACATTTTCCGTAAAATTAAAGACGTTGTATACTTTTCCGTATACGAAGTTACTTAAGGAGTGGCCAATCAGCGGGAGGAGTCATTAAAAAGTTTCCATCACTTTACCTGTGCAGTCGCTGCTTTAAACGGCAAAAAAAATCTACCTCAACCTTCGTTTTTTAAGCAAAAAAGTGCATCAATTTTTTTTCACTTGAAGAAAGAATAAAGGGCATTGAGGCATTGCAAACTCGCTGACTGAATATTTAAGGACGGGGTTGAGGAATTGCGCAGTTGGGTGGCCATGGCAGATACGCATGTGCCTTCAGAAACCGGAAATTTGGCCAACCTTGGACGCACACAATGAAGGCGACAAATTAGTTGCCTAACGGCACCGCATTTAGGGCTGTGGTAGCACCAAAACGACACTGGCAGGTTCAAACTTTTCCCCTCTAAGCAGAAATAGGCTGTTTCGATTAAGGCGATACCAAAAAGGCATTTTACTTGCACAGAAGCAGGAAGCTGCTTTGGCTCGTCTTACGTTTTTCTCCGTCTCGAAAGCATACAAAATTTGATTTCCTCTTTTTGACCACCTCCAAAATTTTACTTCTGTTGTAAGCATTTTGCATGTTTAACTGGGGCGGAGAACAGCTTTAGATTGCCTTAGTTGTCATGGTGACCAATAAGAATGCACAAAGGAGGAATGAATAGCAATCGGTGACTCAGAGGCGGCAGACGATAGGTGAGAATTCCCAGAGTTTTCACGAAGCAAACAAGAACAAAAAGCCAAGTAAATTTGATCTTCAATTTAGCAAGTCTATTTAGTTAGGTGGTTGTGTAAATTCATCCATCCCATCTCTCGCCTCAGTCACAAAAACAAGTTGTTCTTGTCAGCTGTCATTTTACGTGACTTCAGCTTAACCTGTCAAGATGACTTGGTTGAGATTGCTTCCGTGTTATGGGCGGAAACCTAATCGCTTTACTCTAGTTCCGTTACCTTTTGTTTAAGGGAATCGCTTAAGGTAGCCCACGACACTGTGAGCAGGTCTTGACGTGTAGGAACTGTACGCGACCCAATTTAACTACTCCATTAGACCAGCTGACAGGTGTAGCTAAATACACATGTCAAGCAGTAAAAAAACGACTTCATTTTAGCGGCGATTCAATGCTCTGATGGCAGCACCGTTTGTAGGCACTTCTCCACCAATTTGGCTAACACTCTACAACCTTTTTATTAGTGTTCGGGTCTAAAACCACAAATTTGCGTCACTGTGTAATTACTGCCAAGCAATTTTTGTTTTGAAGCAGCAAAATTAGATGTTCTAAGCAATGGGAGAATGTTAAGACAAAATTTGGTCCTGTTTGAAAGGGTAGACCCCGTTTATGCTAGTTCAAGTGGTAGGGGCTTTGAGAAGTTGTTTGAGCGCGGGAACCTCACGCTACCACGATTGGCCAGTACATTTACATCAACTTAAGCGGCACCACTTCAGTTTTGGTTTTGCGGATACGCAAAAGTCCCGGTTCTCTTCCACATTTTCCAATGACGGTATTCAGTTGTATGTCCACACGACTGGCATGAGGGGCCTCCTGGGCCACTCGGTTTCATAGAAAATTTTAATGTTTTACGCACTATAGGAAATCCATTTCTGGGTTTTAGTGCATTTGGTCTCTCTGTAATGCGAGATGCCCGTAATTGTCTGTTTTAATGTCATTTATTTGCAAATCAATATCAAATGTATAAATCAGTCTTAGTTTTGCCATCACATTTAGGATCGCATTATCAATAAGTGTCTTGCAAATATATCCACTTAATTTCTAAAAATTACGTACCGATTTTTTCCAAAAAAGTAAATTTTACAAAATATTAAATAAGATAGCAATTTTTAAATCATTTCGAGCGCCAACTCCGATGATTTCGATTGGTTAATTTATAAATGGGAAAACTCGTGTTTTCATTGGTTACTTTCGCGCTTACCTTTTGTCGTATTTTATTTAAGTTTTTGTTGCAAAATACTGGAACAAGTTTTGCATCATGTGATCGCGATTCTCTTCCGATGCTGCGCGGTGCATCTTTTTATGAAGCTGCAGAAATAAATCACTTCATTTTGCCTACTTGCATCCGTGCGATCATCTGTGTTTGTGTAAAAATCGACATTTTGCTGATCCATCTTTCTAGTCATCAGTCGAGGACGGCTGTCTGTTTTGTTGTTGCTAATGATATTGATATTTTGGTTCTTTGAATGTGTGTGGATGAGCGCGTATGTCGGGGGAAGGATGGAATCTAAAGTCGAAAATAATGGACAAAGGGGATTCATTAAAAAATGCATGGACAGTTAGGGAATGGGTGAACTGAACCTGGCTTTCAGATTATTTGTGACATTCAGCCACTGTTCTACACGCATTTAGGCCATATTCTTGTTTTTCTCTCTCTCTATGTGATGTGTTCCACTCTTGTTCCTCAACGTTTCGTGTCTTCTTAACCAACCTCTTAAAACTATTCATTGATGTCCACCATACCATTCTAATGGACAGTCCGCCGCTGGAGAAAAAAAGGAGTTTGCTGCGCATAGCACTAGAATCACTAATCCAAAGCCCTCATCTCGTTCATCTTCATTGTAACCATTCAAAGGTGGAAATCAGGCGGCATCTCAGCCGGTGGCATTCATCAAACCGTCATTTCTTTAACAAAATGAATTCGCCTTGGTTACCTTGCCAACGCGTGGCGGCCACGTAATTAAGGTAAAGCGATTTAGGTAATTAAGATGGATGCAGGCAGCATTAAATGGAAAGGCGGTGAAAAAAAAGGGATAACAGTAAAGCAAAAGAAATTCAACATCGCAAGACAGGAGAAGTCGTGAACTTTGGTGTTGTCAAGGCAAAATATTAACTAGCAATGTGGCGTCCTGCGCCTTCCGAATGTTTAACAGTTAACGACCAACGTCTGACTTTGTGTTAGATTCACGATTCCTTCTTCCCCCAGTCTCACCCTTGTCTCGCCGGACAAACTTAATTTCACAAATCGTTCCCTCATTCGAGTAGCTGCCTTTACAGTAGCCGCGATGACCTTGAAACCTGAAGGCCATTACTCTTCAACCCTTTAATTACAAATCCTTCATTTAACTGCCGCTTCCTCTGTCTTTTCCAATTGTAGATTTTGTAACGTTCTTCTTCCTCCTTGATGGATCAAACCAAAGCTACAGCAGAGAGCGTAAGTCGCCTCCCTCTCCCACCTCCTCCTACTCCTACTCCTCCTCCTCCTCTTCCTTTTTTTAATTGTGGGAATTAAATAATGCGTCTAGTTAGCTTACTACTTTCTTTGTCAATGTCAGTCATTTCATTATGCTAGCATCATTCGCACTGACACTGCGGGAGACGAGGATGGAAGAAGAGTGCAGCAGGAGAGAGAAGCTATTAAAAATCCGCCTTACAACAAAGCATTAGAAAAAAGCGTCAGTTAGGATCACTGGCAACATTCGTCTTCATTATAGTCATTAAACTGTAACGCATTTTCATTCTAGAAAAGTAAAAATGGCATCGCGTATCCACATTTGCAATGAAGGTACACATATAAACGGATGTGAATAGGTAGTGACGGAAAATTTTTTTTAATGGGGAGGTGCATACTGTTAACCATGTTTTAAGTAATATGGCGCCATTATATCATCTTTTACGGATGAAACGAAGGAAAACTGTGATTTATGCATTGCTCTATCCCATAATAGTTACAACCTACTGATTATCAAAATAAGTAGTATCGCCTTAATTGAATTTTGTTAATTATCGATGCTCTATAAATGATTCTACTACAGGCCCGAGAACGCGCTTATCTCTCATGGATTAATTCGAAAGTCTCCGCCGTGTGTCCTGGAATGTCATTGCGCTCGTTGGACGACGAGGGCATGCGAAATGGCACCGCATTGGCTGAACTAATTGATGCTGCCTGTAAGTGTCTCCTACATGTTCTTCCTTTTAATTAGTTCTATAAATTGCAAACTGTTTCTTTTTAACAAAGTAACAGCCTTTTAGAAGTGTTGCGAAGATGTTTTTTGATGGGTTGGGGCTTGTGGTCCTCGTTTATCAGCTCCGTGTGATTATCATTTCGCCCCATTCCCCTCTCTCACTCTCACTCAGCCTTGGACTAGGCTTCAATTGAAAGGTGGCCTTGGTTTGTTCACTCCAGAAGACTTTGTGATTTTATTCGAGGGTAAAAACTGGTGCCATTTTTCCAACATCTGGGTTTCCGCCATTTGTCAGCCACTTAAACATGTTAACTCCTCACCCCTTGAGGTGGAAATAAAAGCCAAAATGGAAGAAGAGATGATAGACTAAAGTGTGCCTCTCTGATGGACTGACAGAAGTCCACATAAACCTCCGACCGCATATGTAAACGGCACGATGTACTTTAGAAGCCCGCCTAGCTAACCGTTCCCCATCTCTCCTCTCTCCAGCCTACTTTCGCTCACAAAATTGTTCCCTTCCGACTTTTTTACTCCTACATCGAAGTTGGACTGTCAAATCATGAAAGTTGCAAAATTACCTTCTTCTTGTTGTCTAGATTTTTTTTTTCACTTTTCCTCGTTCCTCTCCTTTTTTTCACTCTCGCCGCCGCCTCGACCTCCTCTTTCCCACCCCACCTTCTCAATTTGGCAAGAATTTTGCAAAGGTGCGGGCAGGAGGGGCAAAATGAAACTGACAGAAATGACAACGAACAAATAACATATTCTAAAGCAACTTTCCTCTTTCTTTTCGCCTTATGGAGCAACTGTTCGAGAGGAAAATGAAAATGAGAGTTTAATCGCTCTGATTCTTTCCCGATTACTTGAATGGACTTTGATTAACACAGAAATCTTGCCTCTCGTAGAAGCTCTTTTTGGTCTTCTAACTGTCTTATGAAATAAACTAATCCATAAAGGACTTCCATTGTCAAAGCTGAAGTTATTAAAAAGCCAGAAGGCATTATATTTTCCTTTATTCACTCCCCTCTCCCTTTTCCTCTACTGTCAAGCCAACATGTTGGTGGCACATGATTTTCATCTCCGCATTTAAGTCATATTGGCTCTGAAAGGGACGGTTTGAGCTGTCTGAGCCCTTGATGAGAGTGTATTCAGTTTAAAAGGAAGGAAAAGGCACAATCAATGTTACCATAGCCGAGGCGGAGGAAAAGAGAGGGGAGAGGTCAATAAAACCCAACATCAATCCTGTGGAGGTAAACTGGCCTTAGCAACTGGGACAGCTTTTCTCCAAATGAACTTTAAGCTCTCGAGAGCGACTTACTTCACACACACATACACACAAACAAACATCAATTTGGTTAACACAGCGTATTTCCAGATCAGTAAACAAGTCACTGACATTTGCCTGCCACTCATAGAACATCTGTCTGTCATGCAGCCCTCCTCTGATATCATCTTTTTGTTAGTCAAACGCAACAATTTTTCCTTTCTAAAAGGTGAATGGAGAGGATCTTATTTCTTGGGGGGAAAACGATGAAGTCTGCGCAATTGTCCTTCAATTTGCGGAGCAAAATCGTCCACTCCTTCTATTATGTCACTTGAAAAAACTAAAGCGCCTTAGCTTTGCACGGGCTTCATTTACTTACATCACTTTACCGGTGGTGTGTGGATTTGCTATCTGTCCGAAAGCATTCATAGCCTTTAGGATCGCGAAACCTTAGTGAAGGCAAGCATCCTAGGTGGTTCTATGGAAGGAGAGGACCATACTTTGGCCCCTCCTTCTCTAGCTTTTGCGAGGCATGAATAAAGCTATCCCGGCAAGAAGTTTGGGTGTCACGCTCTCGTCACCTTCATGTTTGCATGGTTTGGTAGATAAAGCCTTCGAAAAGTCAACTCTTACTAACGGATTAAATGGATAAGTACTGATCTGTGCCACATCACCTCACTTGTCAAATCTTTTTGTAGTGAGGGATCCAATGTTATGAAAAATACCGGATGCCTGAGGAACATTCCATTCGCATCTAAATCTTTTCATTGAATATACTCATTTATAATAGATCTTTGCTCTGATTGGTTATTTAATCTCCAATAGACCAATGAGGTTAAGATCCGCTTGACCTTGAAATTCCGTATTTTTTGTTCATAATCCAATACATTTTTTTTACCGTAACAAAATTTCTCAAGGAACTTACAAGACAATACGTCTTAAGTCTCGGTTACACTTTGGTTGAGGGCATGAAAAGTATAGTTCGTTGTTCATTCACAATGGGAGGGCAAGACAAAGGTGAACAGTTAACTATATTGAACACTCTTTGGCCTGCTACCTTTTCAGTCCTTCCACTATGTGCTCAACATTGTAAACCCTCATTTTGCAGTAGTTGGAAGGGCTATAATTGAGATTTTTGGCCTAGTGTGCTCTCTAGGCCAAGTTTAACTCATCTGCTGGGCTATAGAAACTGCTCGTGATGGAGGTGAAATTGTTAGGTGATGCAGAACTATTTACTGCTCTGAATAGACCAAATTGAGCCCGCTTACGTTGACAAGAGTTCTCCTGGATCACTTCTAGACGATGACACTTCCAGTTCATCAATGAACTGCTGAAAAGTCACTTTAGGGTGATAGTGTCGGTCACCACCACTGTAGCCTGTTTTCTTAATTGGCGATATTAATGAAGCAAAAGGGGCAACTCGTTTCAATCCAAGTAACTTGCAAAAGATGACGGCTTGCATGCCTCCTGTGCTTCTTATGAAGATGAAGAAAGGGGAGGGAAGAGAGGGGAGGCGAAAGGGCCTCATTTTCTGTATTCTTCCAACCATTTCTTCCTTTTGGATAAAAATTTCCTTTTTGCGATGCAAGACGTTTGCATACGAATTAAGAAAGTTGAATGGAATGGAATTTAGTCCAAACATAAGATGTCTTGTTCCTTATTTTAGTAACTTCTGGAAAGCTAAAATCACCTTTAACAGTAGAATTCGAATCAGGTTTTTTGCTCACTAGAGGAGGATTAGAAAGTTATACTTAACCCTTTTTTTCAATTGGTACCTCGGTTACAAGGTTGATGGGCTGTTTCGTTGCCATCCAGGTCCAACAATGAATCAGCAGAAGGTGTGAAGTAGGGGTAGACAATTTCCACGACCACCAACGTAGAAGCGTAGATGCTTGTCACAAAAAAAAAACAACTCAAACGACGCGTATGGCTGTAGAAAGAGGAGCCGGTGAAGTCCATTGCCCACACAAGGCACGACATTTGATTCACATCTGGTCAACCTCTACGATAGGTACCAACCTTGCTAAGGAATTTGATTCCCTAACTTTTTTCCTCTCTCTTTTAGCCGCCTCTAGAATAAACATAAAATCACCATGCACAACAGAGGCAGAGAAGATCGCCAACATCCGTGAAATCCTCCGGCGCCTCCGCGACCTCAATGTCCCCGTTTCAACCATTCAGGCGGAAGGTACGCCTTATATTGTTATCCACTGTAGGTACCTCAAATAAACCATTCCCTAGGGTCTGCTATCTTCTTGACTTTTCAGACATTGTATACGGCAACAAGGATAGCATCATGCGGCTCCTGTTGGCTATTTCTGCCTCTTTTATGCCCAGCCACATACACGACGTGAAGCACGAGATTCGCGATCGACACGCAGCTTTTGGTGGACAGAGAGTTTGGGTGAGCCTTAAACACTGCTCTCCTCTAATTAAATTTTGCCTCTCACTTCTCAAAAAGACTATGTAGACTAATGTGGACGCTGATTAATAGCAAGTAGTATATTAAATAGGGGAAGATAATGATACAAGTTCCTCAAGCCTGCGGTCAGTTTCAGAATGCTTCCAAGAATAGACTAAAATAAAACCTTGTAGGTGTTTGTGATGAAAGAAGAGGTTCTTGTAGGACATTAAATTGGATGAGGCCGAAATCAAATTTCTCTGTCGAGTATGAGTGACCGATCACCGCCTCCTCAAAGTTACCAACTTCAGGGGAGTAAAAATAACATGAATGGGGAAAAGCACCACAGTATGCAGTAACGAAGTCCTGCTACCCACCGTATACAGTTGTAGTGCTGACCAACCCAGTTATCACAAAACCGATCTCAGGAGTAATTATAGGCTTAGAACATATTAAGAATCTATCACCTTCGCACGAATAGGCGTTATTGTCCATTAAATACAAATTTGAGAACCTCGGTTTCCTAACTAGTTACATGATTATTGAAATTATGTACAACGCTGCTTTAAAGATACAATTTCATAAATAATAATCCTGAATGGAACGCATTTTAGGACTGCCGAACTCAATATTCACCACAAAGGAGCGTAGTTACAACGAAGGCAACGCCGGTAATCACTCATGATGCACCAACTACTGGCAGCATTTCCACCCTAATCCTCACCTCACGCAAACCTTAACCCTATGCACGGTCAAATAAAACACATACCTGTAATATTTAAGTAGCAATATTTTTCAGCACCACGTGACCAATGTCGGTTCTGAGGCGGCCCTGGCACAAAACCGCCTCTTTCCAACCACCTACCGTCTGCAGCCTATAACAATTCACCGTCTCGTTCCAGCTGTACGGCCACCACTTCTACATGTGACCACGGCGCCTGTGCAACAGATGGCTCAGCAAAAAAACGCAAAACTCACAACAACTTCGCTCGCGCGCCGCATATCCAGCCACATATACAATCGGAGCATGGATAAAGGCAAACAAATGTACCAACAACAGCAGTCTCTACAACAGGATCAAAACAGCCAAAGTAAGCTAAGATCGTGGGAGAATCTCGTACTAAGGGAAGAACAGCAGAAGCCTATGAGAGCATCGAAATCCCTCAATGCTCTACATGGCCGAACATTTGTATCAAAGTTGGTGATCCCGCATTTGAGAAATGTACGAAGCATTTCTTTGATGACTAGAGGGTAAGTCGAACTGAAAGGAAGACAGACAATACCTATAAGAAAATGTCATTTATGATATTTTGGTAAAAAATTGATCGTATCGAAAGATTTGACTGACCAAATTTTGCAACCAGTTGTTTGAAATCCATAAACTATAAAGTTTCCATTCCCCCATGTTTGAAAGCCTGAGAAACGAACAAATTTAGGTGCTTACTCCTCAATAACTAATTTAGGGGTATTTTAAAAAATTTATTGCTTCTCTCAAAATTAACATAAATAACGGAAGCAAAAATACACAAGTCACATTTTATACAAACTACTCGAGGCTCATAAACCAATTGAATAGTTACATTCAGGGGCTGACCTTGGCTGGGTCCTTCATGACTAGGTGCATTTGCTTATTAAAACAAGCTGGAAATGGAATATAATCAGTATAAAGAGTAGTAAAAAAACCTGAGTTTAGTGTTTTAACCCTATATAAATATTATTTGATATTTTTAACATATCGATAAATACTAGATATGCCGTTATATATTAATTAAAATTACTTATTTTAGTTTGAAGTAAGTTACGCACCTCACATGTTGCACTCAGACAATATCTTAGTGAACATTCGCACTTTTTTCGTTGAAACTTTTTCAAAATAAATTTTTGCAAGGGAAAGTTTGAAATTAATGAAATAATTTCCGCTTTTACTTGGTGACTTTTCACAAAAGGTAATCGCATGAGGCAATAGAAGCGGCTCATCTACAGGATTTAGGCCCTTGCAACAGATAAGAGCCATTTCGCCTGACATCATTCACGGCTTGCTAGGTATTATGCATCTGTCAAGGTCTGGTTAGGGTGCCACACTAAACTGACTTTTGGCTTTATCTGTTGCATATTTTTCACTGGCCTTAGCGCACTTGAAGTGACTCAAGAATTTCAAAACACGAATCCTGCATTCATCGAAGTCGTTAGAAGCTGATTCAGCCTAGAGACGTGCATTTGACCCTATCTAATCAACACTAGTGGAGAGATGACTTCTGATACTAAATTTGTGGTTTGTTCTCAAAAATTATCCAATTTTTGTGTGCAGCAGCTTGACCTCAATTATCGAAGCAATTCGTGGGAATATGCAATGACAAGGGAGAGTTCATGATTTCTAAAATTACTGAATGAGATCACTTAAAATTCCGTTCATTATTGGAACGAGGAAAGTGAGCGCGCTAAATGGGGAGATGAGCAAGTTGTGAGGTGAACGGATGACTGGTCAATTAGTCAAACACCAAGTCAGCGTAACGCCCGTAAAATCCTCCCAAAGTGTAGATGCTAGACACTCCACAGTTCTATCCTTAATTGAAGCCGATAGTTCCATAACATGCCACTGAAAGAACAATCAGCTTTCTCTCTTCTCTACCCAATTCTGTCAGCGATGACATTCGACACGTTACCTCGTAAAATCCCATTTTCGGATCTGATACACTGACAAAAACTAGAACCGAGTTGTCTGACACAGGTAACCTGCTCCCTACCCTCCACGCCATCCCCCATAGACCTGCATTTGATCTAGTTGAATGTAGCCCAAACTGATTGGTTAACTCGCCTGCGTTGATATGATTGGTCTGCGTAGCTAGAAGCAGTCGACACGCCAGGCAATGCACATTGTCGGTGTGATTTCGCTGTGTGCATGTGGATATGTCGCTATTCCTCACCTCCTGCTTCACAAGTAGCTTTGGAAAGAAGAACAATGCGCCCAGAGAAGAGATTTATGAGTATTCGTTGAGTGATCGTCGCCTTCATCGCATCTCACAGGCAGCCACCGACCGTAGCAACGCATCCTCCGACCTCATCGATCGATTCGTAACACAATGGGGCAAATGTAGAGGCTTTAGGTGGTCAAGGCTAAGCGAGACAGGTAGACTGTCATTGTGGGGTAGGATTGCCGAATTAATGGGTCGACAAGGAACTGCTTTCCCGTGAGTCCTATATTTTGCCTTCTTTGACACTTTAAAACGGCTTTTCCGAATGTGAGTCGATTACAGTTTTCCCCCCAAACCATGACCGACTCAACAAAGCACCTTTTGACTGAAATATGTGGCAATTCAACTCAACAGAAAGTAGTCACTTCGACTCTTCGTTATCCTTCGTCCTCCGTCCAAGTTCTTGTCAAAAAGGCGGAGAAGTACGCCACACAAGAGTCGTAGCAAGTCATTAATCCCTCTAAGCAATCATGTAAAGCAATTCGATAATTTAAAGCTACAAAATTGCTTGATTAAAAGTGCGAGCACAAATCGATTTGACAACAGAAACGGTGACTTGCGAGCTCCTTCATCGTGCCAAAACCTTTGAAGTTCAAGCATCATCAGGTGATAAGAAATGCAATTAGCAGTCGCACTTCGCTACCCTTGAAAACACTTTTGATTGTTGATTTTTACAAGCCTTGACAATAGATAAGACAAGCCTGCGTCAGTCTTGTCTTCCATTTCTGTCTCGATTGCATTGCCATTCTCACTGCCCCCTCTCCTTACGTTGGCACATGTTTGGTGTTAGTCATGAGAGACTCAGTCATTCCCCAATCCGCGAGACAGTCGCTAGGGCAGTAGTGTGATGCTGTCGCAACAAAGGAGGAGCGCGATTTCTTCTGCATCAAGAAAAAATCCACATCTAGCGTTGATTCAGCAGTTTACCAACTACGATGGCACTCGATTTCAGTGCTTCTCATCTTTCTTTGGACGAGAGTCCAGTGAGCCACTTGTATCGGCATAGGCAAAATGAAATTTTAAACTACCACTTAGATTCTTCTCTCTCATCCCCCTCCTCCTTCTCCACATGCATCAATCATCGGAATTAAGTTCTGATACGTCAACCCTGTCGAGCATGAGGTAGTCCTTGGCCTCAATGCCCCTCTGAAAGTGATACTGGGTAAACGCATACCTCAAAGCTACCACACAGCATTTTGTTGTGCTGTTTTACTTCAGCAAAGCTTCGTCATTCTACTAGGCAAAACTGCATGAAAAAAAAAGCAAACCCACAAACACATTGATGAAATTCTTGGCCTGTATTAAACCGAGTTTCATAGCGAACGATGTTTTATCATAACTTACGCATTCTTTGCCTCTAGGACCAATTCTTCCCAGCAGAAAAGCTCCTCAACAAAAAAGACTCGTGGAAGCATGGACGGTTATGTAAATCACGGCTTCTCCGACTCACCTTCCATCACCACCACACAGTTGAGGAAAATTGCACCTCCACTGGCTCAGATAGCCAAGTTTCGTTTCGATTTGGCGGGTGTGAAGTCGGAGCTCATGCAATTGCAGGAAGTGGTAGGTCACCATGGCGGTCTAGAGGGTGAAAAGAAATGAAGCAATTTTGAAATGCACCGGGCGATTTTGGATTTTGCAGTGGGAGTGCCATTGACGTGCCCACGCACTTACCTTGTGGCAGCCACTTTAGTCCATCACACGCTGTCTAGAGGCTTCTACCCTCCAGACTGTCGCAAGGCCACTTCTATAATACATGACCTTGAAAGGGAACAGAGATGATATCAGTATTGTCAATGCAAGACTTCGAGAAATTACAAGGCACTGACAATTCAGACTGATCATCCTTTTTGTTATTTTAGCTAGCGACAAATTCTCCAACTGAAAGTGGGATCTCTCAAACTGTATCTGATTACACCTTATCGGTAAGCATGCCTAGAATTGGAAGGTGCTTAACATCTGACAGCGATGATGTGAGGTCACCAGTGCGATTTGGGTGATTGACATTCACGATCTGGTAAATTACTGAGGGCAAACTATCCATTGAAACACGTCCATACCGCGAATGTGCGGCAAACAATCTCGCACCCGCCCACCAATCCGAACACTATCCACCACGCTCTAGCACCTATTGATCATTAATTAAAGTTATTTCATTTTCCGTGTTTACAATCAAATCAGCCGGAGGTGTCCATTACTCCGCTCACTATCCGTAACATCGTTCTTCAGATAAGACAACCGGCTACTGAGCTCCTCTACCATAAGCGCAACATTTGGTACCTATTCACCATCGGAGTCTCCTCTTACGCGCACCCGTGAGAGGAGATTTGTGAAATTTGAAAGAGCTTATCGCGCTTCACCAGAAATAAGTTAGAGGCAAAAGCCACATCGCTCATGTACATTGAGATTTTACCAAAGATTAAACATTGCAACAAAAACCGGAACGGAAATGTCGCATGTGCGCAGTAAACTCACTGCCAGAAGGTACTTTTACTCACCTAGGGTGCGCAAGTTGATGAAAACTTTAAGAACGGGGGCATACAACGACAAAGGACCAATTCCACTGGCGATGAGACCTTTCCGAGGTAAGTCCGCAACACAGGCGATAATTCAAAACATTCACAAGTGGAAGATCGTATAAAATTACTAGAATTTTCATGTCTCCGCCAAAAACAAGGAAATCAGTTTGGAGATCAACTCATTAGCATCATATTTAAGTGGAAAATGAGAAAAATTCCAGTAAAGGTTAAGAATACATACTAGCACACTATTTTAAATGTATGAATTGATTAGTCACCAATCAAAGAGAGGCTGACGGCAGAATAAGCAAATAACGGCACAAATCGAAACTAGGTGTGTGTGTGTTTAATTTCTCTAATTTCTTGTTCCACGAAGAACGAATTTCATTTTAAATAGAATAGCTCAACGCATTTAACAATTTCGATGTGTGTCTTCTTTTGCTAAGAACTTCAACGACAATTGAAAGCTTGCATCGGCTACTGAAGGTTCGAACGGAGGCAATGGACGCATGTTTGGTAGGTTTGATGAAGGTCAGAAAAGGTTTCAGTCCGTAAAGTTGCAATGACTAAGCACTTCTTGTGTTGGATTCGTCAATCTGACCTTAGCCGTTTTAGAAAATTGTTGCAATGGTCTATTCAGTTAAAGTCGTCTGCCACTCCCTTATCGGAAAATACACTTGTAGAGGATGCGTGAACCCTTAGAGAAGCGTTGACAGGACAGTTGAATTGGGAATGCACTGGCTCATGAATTGTCCAGTGATACCGACTTTATTAATAAAAAGACACATGCATACATACTGCTAAAGGTAGCAGTAGAAAGCAAGAAATGTATGCATTTTAAATTTTTTGGTACCATCTCCAGATGACCTTGAGTGTATTAGCTTTTAAAAATCCAAATCTCATTTTCAATGCATGATTGTGCCATTTTTAAAGGAATCATCTATTTACCTAATTTTATTAGGGCCTTTGATTACATATCTTAGCAATTATTGTTGTAACCGGCAGTAGTACCAGAACGCCTGCCATAGTCATCAGCAGGAAAGCAAAAACTGTTGTTCCAATCCAACTTTTTTGGCAAACAATACCATATTGATAAGTAAAATCATTTTCACGGCGCTGCATACTATCATACATCCCAGTACCATAGCTATAAACGTGAAGCGTGAAGTCTTTTGCAAGCGAATGCACTCAAATTGGCAAAGTTGGTGCGTAATACTGTGGATGACAACAACAAGTGTGTTCTGGAAACCGTCACCATTATAATAATATTGTCGGTAGCAGAAAGTTGAAGAATAGCATATACCCTCATGAGTTGCTTCTAGCAGGACGAGTTCAGGTGAAGTGATAGTGTGGCAGCCACGGCCAAACTTATGATACTTTTTGCTTTTCAAGAGACTATTTCAGTTGGATTTTCCTTCTCAAACACATAGTCATAATATGCATTACCGCGTGGTGTGCAAGGATTCAAGTCCTCATGGAATCGTGCGTTGCATAAAAAAACCTTAAAACGCCCCCAGTTTAAGGCATTTCTACATCAGTGCCAAGTGTTTTAATTAGGTCGTTCGCACCTCCAATGATAGGTTGACAATGCCGAACTACGCCAAGCTGTAGGCGAGTTGACCTCGTCACTGAAACGCCTTCAAACGGAGAACGAAAACCTTCGACAGCGGATAACTGGAAACCCTACCACAATCGTCAACTCCAATGGTCCTCGTACGTGGAGCTTTAGCTCAGAGAGCATCCCCAACACCCCGTGCAGTCCACTGGACACGGTTCAGCAGACAAATTTTAGGCTGGAAAATGGTCAATCCTACTCCACTTTGACGTGAGTAAATTGGAAGAACTGCGCCATTGTCCAACCACCACTACTATGCAGATAATCCAGACAAATTTACGTGTTCACTCAATTTTAGCATTTCGAAATCAACTAACTCTTTTGGCAATTTCACAAGTAATGTCTGGGATAAAAAAAATATTATTTTTTTTGTAATTTGGACGGCGGCATATATGGAGAGCAAGTGGTCTGCGTTTTGGTCATTTGCTGAGCCCTTTACTATACTTAAATTGAATTTTCATACAAATTTTTGTACTTAAAACATTAAAGATCCCTCATACTACATGAAAGATGTAAAGTGTTCAAAATTTTTCACCGAAATCGACTCCGTTTTGAATTACTTTGGATCTCCAAAGTCCCTCCCTCATTCTATTTCTTGTATGTGTTGCCTATGTATTTGGGAGACATTTTCTGAATCACCAAAGTTTATTACTATAAATTGGTTGTAAAAAGTGTAAAAAAATTATGACAAATCTTAATAGATTGAATGTACCTGTGAAGGCAACCGTAATTCCTACTTTCTACGGCAAAATGTGGGCAAATGATGTGTTACGTGCTTAGCAATCATGTCTGCTCCAGAAAGAAGTAGTTGCATAGCGCAAAGCACGAATACAATGAAATGGACTTCCTCGTGGTTTTGAGTAGACTCCTTTTCGCCTTGTTTCACATCAGACAAGTAGTCTCTGGAAGGTGTGCCTGAAATTCTCCATCCTCGTGTACTTGTCTCAGCTTCTCTATGGGTGCAATAATCCAAAGATCAAAATAAATAAATAAACAAATGAAATAAAACAAATGCTAAAATGTCGCAGCATGTTAAGGGCCTGAGCGGATGCATATCAACCTCTTGAGGCGTAAAATTTTATTATTCACCACATTAATTTTGCATGTACCTTCGCCCGGCACACAAATGTTTGCCAAATTGTCTCTTAAGCCAGCTCCAAACATAAATCTGAATTTTTCCTACTTTTACAAAGTAATTTTTCAAATTTGATATTGTCTGACGAAAAACGAACGCTCGATCTCTGTCCACGGTTATTTTGTATATCCCTCCCGGACACAAATCTTTGCTTCCATATGCGTTTTTTTAATTGACTCGATTCTGAAGCACAAACTCCATCCATTGGTTCACTTTGTTTTGTTAAAAAAGGGCCACATGCTGGACGATTGAAACGTACGAGAGATATACACACTGTCTTGCCTGTAAATGTCACATTAAGGAATCAAGTATGTGCCCCATTAGGCAAATTAATTTTCAGTTCAACCTACTCCAACTAGCTCACATCAGACTACACAATTTAAAAGCAAAAAGATAATGATTCTGTGTGCATGCCTGAGAGAAAAAAAGTGCAGTTGGGTAATCCGCAAAGTAAACTCATTCGGGTTGCTATAGGCCAAATTCAAAAAGTGTTGGAGGACAAGCCTATGCAACTTAGCTATGAGGTATACCAAGGACAATAGCTTAGGGCGGAGGCATCGAGACTTTCTTTTTCCATTTAGTAGGCAGAATACTAGTCCTAGGAATAGTGCTTTTGCATAATCCTGTATAAGTCGACTGAAGTTCACGACGCGAAAGAAAAATAATGATTCGAAGCCAAATAAAACACACCAGTTTTGTCCCCAGAAAATCGTGATTGTCGCCTAAACCAACAACAAAAATGCACAATTGGCACTGCATGTTAAATGAAAATGACGTTGTTGGCGGTCAACAACGTCAAAAATGCCCACATTCATGTGGAAGAATGTGCTTGATCGAGAGAAATATCGTATGACTGAAAGCTGGTATGAAAAATAGTATTCGAATTTACTTTGCACGTTTTTCATATAGTCATCAAACAGTAGAAATACTACGTGAAATTTATTGAGCAAAAACCAACGTTTCGGAGGAAAATTGATTCAATCACTGATTTCAAGGTCAAACTGATGAACATAAACTAATGCTTCAAGTCACGCTAGAATTTTACGCATCCACTTTGAACCTTTACATTTTAAGAAAACTTTGGCGTTAAGGGCTTTTTCAGGCATTTTCGCCTGCTCAAGTACTAGCATAAAACAGAGGTTAACTTTTATATCGCTTATAATAAATCGCTGCGATTCGGCGGTAGTCCTGGTTGTCCCAACGATTGGGAAAGTTGTCTTTTCACGAAGCTGCCAATTGAACTAGTTCAGAATCCCATCTTTTCGGGCACATAAATGTTTTACATCACATGAAGGAAATATTTACATTCCTTTTGAACAACCCAATTTTAAAAGCGTCGCATTTTTATTAGGTTCTGTGGAACGTCCTCAGGCTTCTCGTTTGATCATAATAGGAACTAGATTTGGCCGAGCCTTTGTGATCCGCCTAAAAATGTATAGTTGAGGCTTTGCATTGCCTGCAGGTTGCCCGACAGGCGGAAACAGGGTGAGCGTCGATGTGACCAATATTTACATGAATAGTTGAATAAACAAAGTAGTGCATCCGCTATCCTTTGTGCCTCTTGAAGTAATGCGATGCGGTGGCGTTCGTGTATCATGATCCCAACATTCTCCACCACATATGGTCTACCCTTATTTAAAATTACCAGTCACAAAACTAAACAGATCTGTCTGAATTAAAATGGAATTGCAACTTTCGAATATAGGTCGCTGAACTGGTACTTGTCTGGGTGGATGCACTTCCATTTCGTTACAAATTCTGCCAATTTTCTATCCCTTACTGATTCTGCGGATGAACAAGGCGACCGTCTTCCACTTTCTACTAGCTTTGATCAACAGGCTTCTTAGCACATCACTGAGCCATTTGTACCTGATTTGCTATTTTCTCCCTATCTTCGATGGGCTTCCGTAGAAGACGTGCCAACCAAATCCTCTATGCTTTTTCTCCTTTCTTCTTTTAGATGATGGAACATCTGCCCAATCGCTATCAATGATGGTCAAAATTGGCCCTGGCACAAGGTCTTTCAAATTTGTATACACATATTCAAGATGAACGTGAATTAGTCTACTTATCCCTACCTCTTCAAAGTAGAAATTGATATGCTTCCCAAACCTGCATGTTTCGTCGCATTTTCCGCAGGATTTTCATCAATCTCCACATCTACTTATATAAATATAAGTAGCGTGCAAGATCGAGATTATGTTCCCTTCATTCGCCCATTTCGAATCCAACTCGATTGCAGTGTTACTTCGAGTTAAATCATGACAAAATATTTGGTTGACAATGCGCTGGAGTAGTTAACGACAGCTGATCATCAAATATACCGATTCCGAGATCTATTTCTTTGTTGAAGACAGAAGACATTCGATAGGAACTGACAACGCGAAATGCCCGGTCCTGCGCACGTGGTGGAGATATCCGATACCCCGAAGGCAGAAGCGCATTACACAAGGCTTTGACTCTTGACTGCGTACCCAATTAGCGAGCTGGAAATCACCCCTAAACATTAGATTTCGAGGTCTGAAAACTAGGTGAACGACAAATGTGCATAAGCAAACAGCCCAGGCCCATTTACTTCCACCTCTACTAGAACTTTTCGCAGACGTATGGAATGTGCCAAATGATTTGCTCCTCAAGAATCATCAAGTGATACAAGCTCGGCAAAATCGAAGCTAACTGCCAAGGAGGGTTAACCACCTCTTGCTTATAGCCACATATGTAACGCTCTGAGAGGGAATTGCTTGGATGTCAAAAGGGCAACACTACAAACGAGTAAACTACCGATGGTTTGTAACCAAAATTAAATTCATATACTGGAAAAGTACTACACCTAACTAAAGCTGAGTCTTGACCACTGGTGAAACGGGGATTGCTAACTATGTCCCCGTTTCAGCAAGAAGGCTGCCATGGGCTGCCAAAGTACGCTCTTATTAGCTATTTCCGTTCGTTAATCTGGTACTCTGTTACTACACCAGCATCTCCAGAGATTAAAACATTCAATGGCTTAAAAGACAATTAAATGTAGATAAAAACTAACATTGATAGTCTTCAAGGTGTACTAATTGCTGTAAACTAACCAGTTTGTCCAAATATTCATAAAAAAACTCAACCGTAGGCAAAATGTGCAAATGAGAGGAGAGAACTTTGGGGGTTCTAGCTGTGCGTGTCCTCCAGAAGAAACCAAAAAATGAAGAAATTGTATGTTAATTCCCGCATTGAACACAGGCATCGAAGTAGAGACCCATTGTATTCAATACACGGGTAAAGCAACAAAACGCACATTGACCAGATAAGTTAAACCCATCTATTTGTGCGCTAGTATATATGTATATATGTACGCGAATTCGGCGAAAAAACCTGCGATGCTTAGACGAGTAAATTAAACAATTAGCGTCTAAAATGACAAAATCAAATGACAAGATCACCATAGGCATAGCCAAAATAAAGAACAAGTCAAATAAAATAAGCAATTAATACAGTGATACCCATTCAATTGTACGTGCAACAAGCTATGTCTCAAAGAGGCTCAATGGAAGAGTTCAGCAATTCATTTAAAAGACGATTGGACCTTTCGTCAGAATGCCATCCATTCGCTCTATTTTTTCTACGTCCTGAAGGGGTTCAGCAGGAGGATACTCAACAACGATGGAAGAACCCGGATTAACAAGTTCGGGTTCTTTGTACTGCAGGACAGGAAACTGAGTCATGTCAACACCTTTGGCATTAAAGACATTGTCAAGTTTTTCTAGGCTGTCTTTCAGGGATTTGATTTGGGCTTGTGATGCCCCAACAAGACCCATTTCAGCAGTTTTGGACTTTCCCTGATATTCGCGCAGTTTTTCAACAAACGCACGCTGAATGGGGTCTGCAACTTGTTGAGTAGCGAGTGAAGCATGTCGAGTGAATATCAGGGTTCGGCAAGTGAGCAATCGGCTGTAAGGTACTAGTATCATAGCACAACACAATCGATGAAGTTGCAGACAATTACCACAATCTTGCTAGTACATTTCCCATGTGTGGCTTGCTCGTGCATTGTACACATAAAAAGTTTTAGCTGCAAAAATAATAAGCTTATATATTTTTGGCTTTTGAAAAAGCCAAAAACTTAAACCCTATGTTTGTCACAGCTAACAGAGGTGATAGAAAGGATGGGAACGAGTACTCATAAGAATAATAAACCGCCCAGGGCTACACCTTTTTAATGTTTGATTATAGACGTTTTGCAGTTCGATGTGAAATGAATTCAGTATTGTTTTAGAATACTCAAATTCAACTGCATTGTATTTTTGAGATATGTTTATCTTTTAATTCTCTTGCCTTTTAAATTTACGCTTAGAATTCGCCTATATTACGTTAAATTGTTTTTAAAATTTAAATGTTGTTCACTGCATATCCATAACCTTTGTCACTATAGCAACACCAATGATAAAAGCGCATTCACATGAGATACTTGCTCGTAGCACAAGGTTGTTCATCTTGACAATAATTTCCGCGTGCTTCTATTACTGCATCCGATTTATATCAAGTTAACGATGCCTGGTCCAGTAAAGGACGTAGATTTACGAATTGAAAGTTACAAAGATGTGTCCAGCATTCGCACACTCATGTCATTTGTCAAACCGGGGTGGCCATTTGACAAACTTCAATTTAAGGTAATTTCCTGAGCGATATAATCATTTTGATAAGCTATTTAATGAGGGTACTTCAAACGTTTTGTTCGCTGTTTTTCTTGACCACCCACTTGCTCCGGATAATTGTGTCCTTGTACGTATTTTCGGCTATCAGACAGAACTTTACATCGACCGAGATCGAGAAGCCATTTATTTGTGGATTCTTAATCAGTTGAACTTTGCCAGCCAGGTATTTTACAAATTCACAAATGGTATCTGTTATGGATTTGTGCCGGGTTCTACTGTCAATTATGACCTACTTACTGACCCTAAATTCTTCAAGTGAGTTGAGCTAATTTGTCGCATTCCTCGTCTTCCAACTTAGAATGATTGCAAAGAAGATGGCTGCGTTGCATACTCTTCCGATCGATGAATTTGCAGAGCAGCATTTCTCTGATGTTGGATTCATTTTTGATACGAGTCCTTCTGTTTTGAATTCGGCTTTGAAGTTCATCAGTCTCATCTCCGACAAACTCTTGTTTAAAGTAACCACAAATTGTGCTGGTGATGGAATTACTGACAATGGGTTTGTTTCTTATTTTTTTTCCCATTCGTCTAGTTCCAATTTGGTTTTCCCAACAAAAGAGTATCTCATAGAGGAGGTGCTTTTTCTTCGGAAACTTCTTTCAACTGCAAAATCTCCTGTAAGATTTTGCCACAATGATTTACTCTTTGGAAATATTGTTTTGTCACCGGGAAAGGGTACACATTATTTCCAAATTTTAATCTGTTCGCTTCTTGTAGATTCAATTCACTTTATCGACTTTGAGTACTGTGGCTACAACCATGTGTGCTATGAAATCGCGAATCATTTTTGTGAATATACAGGTAAATTTTCATTTTCTCTTCATCTCCTTTTCTTTCTCGAAACAGGCATGACAGATCACGACTTTTCCCGGTATCCCTCACACCAACTCCAAGTAGAATGGGTCCGAACCTATCTTTTTGCTTTCAAACATTACTCGAATGGGGATTCAAATGACTCTATATTCGTTGAGGAGCAAGAAATTGACGCGTGGTTGGACGAGATTCGAAATTTCACTTTGGTAGGTTTATGTCCTTAGACATCTGTGGCCGATGCCGAGAGGTTCTTTGTATCGGCTGTTTTGGATCGTCAATCACTTTCCTATCCATAGCTGGTTGAGCGTTGTCCCTGAAAATATTGTATTTTTTTGGGGTTGAGGCTTCGGGATGCTTTTCAAAACATTGGATTGTTTATGGTTTATTTTTCCAGGGCTCAGTTTTAATGAGCCATAAAGCACAAAACAATGAGCTATTGGAAATGTTATCAAAATGATTATTTGGCTAGGTTCCAAAATAACTTTATAGCTTTCTTAGCGTTATTATGGGCTACCCATAGGTACTTTGCTACTGGTGACCGAGTTAGGGAGCAATTGTGTGAATCACTTCGTCTTTCCATCGCGAAACAACCGAACTTGTAAGCACACATGAGTCATTCTGCTCCAATCTGACCTTAACTCTGTCGGACGACCGAATCCTGCGACATTCATCCCCCTGGTCCCGCCCTCTGAGGACAAAGTTGGAATTGATTGATTGAGTTGCCCATGTGTATCGCATGGAGGGTATGTAATAGCAGCAGAAAACACAAGTTCGCCTTTGCCACTAAATGCAGTTGGAAACGATTCTATTTTGAGCGTTCGGTTACCATGAACGGTATCTGCAATCGTACCGTCAAAACGTTCGCATGAATTTACTAGAAGTTGAGATTTAGCAGGAAGTTGGGCGAATGTTTACGCGATGTGTCTGAACTGTCGCCAAGTCATTAGTTGAAGGGCTGTTGGTGGCTTGTTTATTTCCGAGATCGGGGTCATATTGAAGTCTGATTTTGAAATAATTGGCAGTTTTTCTCTCATGATCGTTCATATTGCACGACTTTCCATTCCTTAGGCCTCTCACCTCTATTGGGGCATTTGGAGCATTGTGCAGTCTCAACGATCCAAACTGAATTTCGACTACACCAAGTAAGTCTGCATCTAACGCCGTTGGTCCCGTGACCTCTTTCCCTCCTTGTGGTCTGGTCGGAAGGGCGAGTCAAAGCAGGGCTAGCTATTTTTCTATCCCGGCGCTTCCGTCATTTGAACTGTTTACGGTCTTGGGAATCATATGACACATGCCAGATTGCAGTGAATAGTTAGTGGGTGGGTTTGTTTTTATTATCATTAGTAAGTCTCATCGTCGCGTATTTCGTTTACGCGCCGGGCCATTGCCCCCACTACAATACGAAAGCCTGCTCTGTTAATTATTTCACACGAGAGAAAGTAGCGTTGCAACCAGTCCCCTAGTTTCTTGTGTGAGGTTAAGTATTTCACTTCGTCGTTGTAGGCCACCAACAGCTTCACTCTCGGTCACCACCTTTGAAGCCTGTTTGCTTAATTCGCTCGTTCATCACATTTTGTTTAGGTATGCTCTAACCAGACTCAATGAATACAAGAAATTAAAAGCCATGTTGCTTCATTAACTGGTGAGGATATTTTTCATTTGTGTTAATTTTCTTTCCCACTTCCCTTTTCTTATTGGTCAGATTTTGCTAGTCTTGACTGACCAATGAGATCAGTTCTCCGTTTGATTGGTTAATACAATCCTTTTATTTTCTGGCACCTTCACGGTGTTAATGCTTGAAATCAAAGTGTTTAGAGTAAAATAGTAGTCCCGATTCAGAGCGTTTCATCTCTTCCTTTTTAGTTGCTGCTTTCGCTCTTTGGTAACCATAATCTTTCATTCTTTAAGTGTATTTGCTGCCTTGTACAATTCGAATCGGCGTCCATGCTTATCTGTGTTTGTTAAAGGCGACTTTTTCACTGCTTTTTGCTCTCGGCCTCATGCTTCCTGGCCTATTTGCCTTTCTTTTATTAACTTCATTAAAAATTTTGACTAGCCTAAGGAGCACTTTTCGCCCCCCCCTCGCTTTTATTTCGTCCGATAGTGTACTCTCGGAGAGCATACTCTTATTCTAATTGGGGACTCATGAAGCATTAGTTAAAAGATTGCTACAAAGTTCGTGTTTTTGGTGTAGCCTTTATCCGCAGATACATTGCGGTCCTAGTCTTAGCTTAGTCTACGGCAGGAAAAAGACTCCAATGGGTTTGTGGTGTCGGATATCAATTAATATCGGCAATATTTTTCGCTTGTAATCCGCTTAAATAGCTGTTTTTTTACATATCTGCTCTACATATCTGTGGGCGGTGTTGCTGTTTGATCTTGAGGAGATTACTCTCTCATTTAGTTGTCACATTATTGGAGGTTAGAAGAGGTCTGCCTTCACGAGTGGATGAAATGGTGAAGTCCCTTCCAAAACGGAGATGTTGTCCACCCTGTTCAAATGTCAACTTGCCCTGACTCCGCTGATTAATGGCTGTAAGCGTCAATCATGAGAAGGGTATCCCACCATTCCTTTTTCTGTCCTTCTCTGTGTATGTTTGTAAATGTTTACTGACTGAATAAAGAAGGCAGTTGACTCGCATTGAAATGGTTCTTCGTTCTATTTACTACTTACATCTCGATTTTTGGAACGGCATCATTTGTAAAAAGGTATTTTTTGGTGCCCTTATGAACGCCTCCTCGAAATGCCAAACGGGAGGGAGTGGATCCACTGATCAGGAGCTATAAACTTGGAATCGTCCATCCTCATTTCATTCTCCTGTATATCTTGGTAAACTAACCAGCGACGTCTGCGGGTTTATTAATTGTCATCGCAATGTTCTCCTTGCAGCAGGTTCGAGTTCATTTAGTGACACTACCCGAGAAAGATCGGTCACAAAAGACCACCATTCGCAAAAATGGCTTCTGCATGAGGAGACTCCAACTGCAATAGCAATTTGCCATAAATTTTTTTGTAAACCTAGCGAATGGTTATGAGGGAGATTTTTATCACCAATTTGACTATCGTAGTTGCTGCGCTAATCCCAGTGTGCTTTTAAAAAAGAAGGGTGGGCACAAACTTAATTCATCTTTCCTGCCTCTCTCACCTCTCTGATCACTCGGTCCCTCCCCAGGTGAAAATCCGCAACTTCTCTCACTCGAGACACCTTAGAGGACGATTTGGTACTTCAGGTATGGCACTCGTGATTTTCACGCATTAAGTCTTCCACCAAAATTCTTGAATGTGAACAGAGTAGAAATGGTGAAGCATTCACTCTGTTCGTGCCATATGGTGGCTATCCGTGATTCACTTATCCATCCCCACATGTCATTAGCGTATGACAAAACAATCCTCAATGGAACTTAAACAAGTTCCACCGACACGGCTATCCACTCCAATTCGAAAAAATCTACTTCAACCCCGTTAAACGCAGTTGCGCACTTCGACAATAAACCTCTCTCTAGCCTCTTTTTCTGCAATCCACCTATGGAGCACAATTTCACTTGCTCACCTGCTAATCTCCAGTTTGAGCGTGGGATAGACTTCACACCTGAATGTATTTGGCCATTGCATTGCACAGTTCGAAGACAGCACCTGATTTGAGACAATAATGTTTAGTAAGACACCAGCCTCCCCCATTTGCAAAAGGTGACCCACTCCTCAAGTAAGCGTTATTCTAGAGATAGTCAGTTCCACGCTCACAGAGTCCAAAAAAGCGAGTAAAATTGGGCAAAAATTATGATTGTTTTAGACCAACTCCATTGAATTAATAAAAGAAATAGTAAAAGACTCCTGATTTGGTTGAACTGCTTATCTGCATAGCTCCTGAATGAATTTCTCAATTTCGGCCTCCTCCTTCAGGCCGGTGAATCGGGACACCTCCTTGCCGCCACGCATCCCGACTACGGTTGGAACAGCCGCCACCTAAAATTGGTAAATACAACTTACTGACACTAATTTAAGCAAACGTTTATTTTTGACATTTCTTGTCAACCTTGAATTTGGTAGCTAGATCTTCCAACGAGTCGATATCAACCTTGGCTAGGAGGACCTTATCCATGTGATTTTTCATGACACCATTCAATCTTGGTCCCAGCATCTTGCACGGGTTACACCTTAATACGAACACAAAAATTGTAATAGGAAAGTTTTTGCTAACCATGAGGCGTGGAAATCAACGAGGACTGGAAGTTCGTTCTCAGTGACTTTTTTGATAAAGTCAACAGGATCCTGTATATTAATTATTCCACATTCTTTGCTAAAGCACTGTCCAGAGGAAGTAAAATAACGCGAAGAACCAAACACAGCAAGGCGTTTGGTGAGAGATGCCAATTTTGAAGTCAGCATTGGTGACTAAAGAGGGAAAGTTGGACTGACGTCCACGAGTTTGTGAAAATAAAAATTAACGATAAATGTAGACATAAAATGCACATGATCGATACTCTTATGATGAGTCAAACATGTAGAGCATGCAGACATGAAATCTATTTAAACACGGAAAATATAAAGAAGTACCATGAAATCGTGACAGGACATAAAGCGTATCCAAAAAACATAACATTAACAGCGGTGTACTTTAGCCGCCAATCGAGCAAAAATAGCCCACACTTTTCGAAAGAATGCACTATGCTCGACTAAGACAGTATGTCAGCAGTGATCAGATGTTTAGAAAGAACGCTAGCCACAACTCACGCACACAAGTAGGGGGAATTTGAATCGCGAGGCGATTAACAGGAGAATTTAGAAACGCTGAGTTAATTCAGATTTTGTGATGCAATGTTTTAATTTGCAAATTTGAGAAAATAAAATTTTTAAAATTTGTTGTCTTTGCAAATAAATATGCACATCAATACATGATTATGAGCACATTTATGCCACCTAGATGAGGAAACATATACACATGTACAAACAACATTATTTATTGTAAATTTCACCTCAGTTTGATTAACCGCAGCAGCGTCTCGAGACTTCCCACAGGGGGAAAGAAGACAATAATTGGGGCTGGTGTATGTATTCCAAAGGGAACAGAGCAATTGTTCCTGAGCATGATCCGAAGGCCAGTCCACGAATACAATGGCCAAATAAATCCTAAAGTGACCTCCACATGTCAGGTGGTCACATAAACAAAGGATTATAATTAACATGTAGAAGAATGGATTTGGTTAGACTGAATACACGCATTCTGAGAGGCGAAGGGTGTGAGCTTTGGCTAGTTTCAGTAGCCGACTTGCGCTGAGGCTCGAGCAGTTGCTAAAGTTACTGCCATACATCAAGGGAAGGCAAAAGTAAGGCATTTCGATCCAAACTTGCCCTAGCAATACCTTGTAATACATGGATGCTATGAGTGATTTTACTGACTTTTGCACCTCTGCACTTGTTGAGAATTGACATCATTCTGTATCATCTCGTCAGACATCTAACTCTTCTATCCTGGACGTACAAATCCATTTTTACCGGTGTAATAAGTGCAGAGTGTTTAACTTGACCTTTATACAAGAGAGGCGGTAAGCGAATTTGAACACGAATCCGGTGCACGTGAGGATCATGCGGACTCCCCTTCCGGGTGATACCTATCCCCGTTCTTCCTGTATTCTATTCCTAATAAAACTACTGTCTTCTCTCGAACTCCATGTTTTAAGGGCATGAGGGTAGGCAGGCAGTTGCTACATACCAACCTTTTTTTTCAAACCACCATGCAGCCACTCTCCTACTTAACTTTCATTTTGTCAGACCACAGACACGCAGTACGACCGTTATGTCCCTTAAGATCGTGAAACTTCAAGAGACCATCCCAAAAATCCCATGTCTAGACCGAGTTTCCTCCAAATTACGACAGCAAGAGCACCCATTATCTATGGACATTAGACGACGCGTCGACGATTCAAGAAACGACCATCCGGCGAGTAGAACTACTGATGCTGAAGAATTGTTCAACCCCCTTCACAACACAGGCAATCATAAATGCTCTGCCCTTCATTATTGACAATAATATACAGCCGCGAATAAAAACAGTCTGACCACGATTCCACGAAACATTGCACCACAGCACAGCACTTCACAACACCGAGTCACGCAAATGACAACAACGACAACAGCACCAACAAAAAAAGCGCGTCACTGCCACTTAGAGAGCCTTCAACGAGACAAACTCCCTCAGCTGAGGCGGCAGTGGCAAGCAACGAATCCGCGCAGTGGTGCCCGAAGATCCCGATCCCCCCAGCTGGGCTTGAATTCGAGCTCGGCAGAGACGCTTTAATGAACGCACATTTGACTCCTCATTGTGTAGCCAAGCGCTAAGCCATGCGTCTGATTGACCAGTGGAGGAGACAAGCGAGGACTCAGAGAGAACACCATGTTGCATCAGCCATCGAGTGAATGCGGCCAGGTTAACAGGGTCGCATCCATGTCGTAGTAGTAAGCGAACCTAAAAGTGGACCACAAATGCATCTCACGACACCCTAATGATAACTGCCAGCAAAACTGACGCAACACACCATGGGTAGATCAAGCTTTGGAAATTTCACCGCCATATGAAGGGGTCCAAGACCATCTTTGTCCGGTCGATTGACAGCAGCACCATGAGAGAGTAATTTTGCGGCAAGATCGAGATGACCATGAAGGACCGCAGCATAGAGTGGTGTTCGTCCATTCATCTCCGCCGCATTAACATCTGCATGGGCCGCAAGCAGCAGAGACACGATGTCTGACCGACCATGATACGTGGCCACGTACAGTGGTGTCTTCTGATGCGAATCCGCCTGGTTCACCTATGACAATGAGGCTCAATCCGTTGAGATTTCATCTCTAGATTTGAAGTTAATCGTTGAGATTGTCACCTACCTGAGCTCCATGCCGTAAGAGAGCGTTGACAATGTTGAGATGACCAAAATTTGCGGCAATGTAGAGAGGCGACTTGAGCTCCTTATTCGGAATGTGGATGTCGGCGTTGCAAGTAAGAAGGTAGTCGACAACGGGAGTATGGCCTCGACACGTTGCAAGGTAAATAGGTGTTCGCCCGAAACGATCCTGGGAAGTAAAAATGCAAGCTAGACATTTATGAGGCGGGTTCAGGTCACATGAAGAGCAACCGCAAGTACATCTCATGCGACTTTAGGTACACTTGCCTGAAGATTAAGGATGTCACAAGCCCTTTTATTGGAAATTTCAAGAGCCTCCTCAAGCAAAAACCGAACTGTCGGGACAGCACCAACGTAGCAAGCGTAGTGGAGAGCTGTCATGCCAATTTTATCCACCGCAGAGATGTCGCAACCTGCAGAGACTAGACCAAAGACCATTCGAAATCCACTTTGACCCGCTTCAGCGCAGAGCATCAACGGCGTCATGCCTGCGGGAGGAAGGGGAGATCAAGACACTCCGGAAACCGATCGGCGATGGACTTCAAGCTGGACAAAACCAATGACTAGACAAATTCAGGGGAGTAAATATGTCTCAGTTTGTCCACTCACCAACATTATCTGCTTGATTCAGATTAAGACGAGATGCAGGAGGCTTCACGGTAGCTGGCTTGTTAGAAGTGGCTGGGGAAGAGGAGTCTGGAATGACCTCTAGTGAGGTGGTGTTTTCTAGAAAGTTAAAACGCTTGTTTCTTTATCGAAGCAGATTGTCGAGATGTAAAAGCCAGAAACTAAGAGTAACTTTAACATTCAAGAAATGCACTTTAAAGGGCAAACCTTAAGTGCATCTGAAATGAGGTAAGTAACTGATGATGTACTGCAGCCCGCTGTGAAACAATGTAAAGGCAATCCTGCACGAAGCCTGCAGGGCTACTTACTCTTTTTGCCTCCAGCTACCAGTCCCCGAAAGCTAGAATTCCTTCCAGTCAAGGAATTGAAGTTCCATACTGACGTTGCCGACAAGCAATTTCTGAAGTTAGTGGAGGACAGCAGACGATTGCCATGGCGGATGGATGTGTTGTCCAATGGTGAAACCACATCAGCAGCAGTGATAGAGTTAGACGCAGCAGCGGCTGCAGAGGCAGTTCTAAATACCTTAGAGGTCCACCCGAAACGACGATTGGGTGAAGAGGAACTGGAACCCGAGCCTAGGGCTAACGAGGTGGTTGTGAAAGTGCTGAGAGACGTGTTAATGGGAGCAGATAGGATCGCGGCAGCTGCCGCTTTAGACTTGTGTTCTTCTTCAATACGAAGAAGAGTTAGGAGGAGACCTTCTTTACGATCCTTGGAGGCAACAAGAAGAGGTGTGTCACCAGCTTGGCTCAAAATATTGAGATCCGTAGTTTCTTCCTAAAAAGTTAATTTCCAAAAATATATCGGACAGAGAAAATCGGTGAATAGAAATGAGAAAGTGGCAAGCGCAAACGATGCAGCGAATCAGGCCTAAATTACGGCACAGATGGGATTGGATTCAATAAACAGAGAAGAGAGGACTAATTAGAAACCGGTAGGGCCACAAATGGAAGAAACTAATCGATGGTAGAATGAAAAGCAGCCTTAAGATGATTTGATGGATTCAAAGGCCTGTCCTGTGTAGTTCACAATGCAACAGCTGACCGAATATGTCAAAGAAATATGAACTTTTAGTTGCAGGTTATACCTAAATGAACGGCAGAAAGCACAATGCTGATTGTCACAATTTGACTGCTCGCGTTTAAAAAGGAAGGCTTCAAGTAATTAAAGAATAACTTTTAGTTCAATGACCTCGGGAAGCCTAAACAGCGCCCGAACCACAGCTCTTGTAGACTAACATAAGTCCGAAGGAAAATGCACTTCAACAAAGAGAGTTTGCATAGCAGTGTAAATCTATACCTATGGTTCAAATAGTGGAGGGTAGCAACCCATTCCATGAATCAAGAAGCCGCTAATTTCAGAACCCATAAGATATAAGAGAACATACTTCGGGAGAATTCAAAGAAATCAGAATTAAAGAACTTTGATTTACTCTCAAAACATTTTACTCACCATCGCCAGAACCTCCGCAATTTCAACTGAAGCTAGATGCAGAGGTGCCATCCCGTCATCATCAAGATTGTTCGGATCACAGCCATATTTGAGAAGTACTTTCGCAGTTTCCACATACCTTTCCGTGGATTGACCGGCTAAGAGATGGAGACAGGATTGATGCCTCTCCGTCAGAGCAGTCACCTTTGCACCCGAATTTATCAACAGTTCCGCGATCGCTGCGCGACCGTAAAGAGCTGCTTGGTGAAGTGGGTAGCGTGGACAATCAGAAACATGGATATCTGCGCCAGCCTTTATTAATAGTTTGACCATTTGGAGATGGCCCAACTCAATAGCGAGGTTAAGAGGACAGACACCGTCAATTACCACACATGGATTGACATCGTTGGGGTAACTAAGGAGATATTGCATGCTCTCCAGGTTGTTACTACGGATGACGCCTCGAATAAGCCATGGGATTTGGACCTTCGTGAAACGGGGTTTGTGCCTTTGCTTGGAGAATCGCTTACCCATTCAGACCGACCAAAAATCCAGTATCTTTACAAGCCGTGGGATAAATCCGTGCCTGTAAGGATAAATTGGCAATCAAATGGAAATAACAAATCCACCAAGAAACCAATGTCGGTCAGAATTCATAGCAAGCTAAGTTAGTTCAATCTGTTAAAACAGAAACAAGGGAGAATTGTTTCTTATTTTTGTCTTATGCCTATATATCTATAGGCGTTTTTAGAGTATGTCGCAATTATTTCCAACTAGATAAAGATGATAAAAGGTAACAATATCATTTAGAGTTTATTAGTTAAGAGATTCCCTGCGTATGTATTTTGATCCATTAATTTTTTAATGTGTAAACTGATGTAAAATTGAGGAAATAGAGTTTGCAATATGTTTGCGAATCTGTAATAAGGTCTACAAACGACTAAACCACTTTTACATAACTTATCCTAAAAGGCAATGAAAACATATTGCTAATAATTAATTTTAAGTAATAATCGTTGCAACATAAAACGTTTTATCAAAATTTTTAGGTTTTTGTTCATAAAACTCTCTCTGAGGTGCTCCCTTCTCGCTCTGTTGAAATTGGGACAACGGTAATCGTGCGTATTTGGGTCTGATTTGTAGGTGCACGGTTCATCCTTTCCACTTTATTCCCCATCTCTTGATCTTCCTTCCGGTGAGTGTCAAGTAAATGGGTTGAGGACCGTGTTGCATGTGTGGTGAACACTGATGCTATACTTAGTTATCAAGTTCATATTTTTGGGCGATTCCAAACTTTACATCTACTTGATTTCTATAAAAATACATATTTTTCTTTTGTAGGTTGTCACACATGCCAAACTCTGACTCTTTAAATACAGAATTTTTGGATTCGTTGAATCCCGATGACTATATATTCGGTTTAATCCACTTCCCTCCCGGTTTTGATGTCAAGAATCTCCTTACTGCTGAAACAGAATCGATGCTCCTGAAATTCTTTAGAAAACTCAACAAGCATCCCCTTACTCCTTTGCGTAAACGATTTCCTACTTCTCCCTCCTCTCATGCCTTGGAATTGTGCTTCGAGGGCTCCTCGTCTCATACACGTTTACCATTCCTCGGTCGTTCCTCTGACGGCGGTTATTGTTTGCGTCAGCTCGATGTTCAGCGATTGCAAATCTGCCTTAGCGATGACGTCTATGGGCAAATCAAGTACGTTTCTGAGGTACTCTCGTAGTTTTTTTCGTACTCACTAATTTAGTGGCCTTAGGACCTTGTTACCATGTTTCACTTTTTCACTGGACTTATTGTGGCCGTCCCTCAGGTTTGAGGATTTTTTGGCCTCTTTAAAAACTACTGCCTCTATTCTTGAATATTTTTCTGTTTACCATAGTATTGCGAATATCGGGCATTATTGATCTTGCTGCTTTTTTGACGATGTTCAGTGATGAATCTACTCCTCATACGGCAAAAATTAGGCGAATTTACATCGTACTATGGTCTGCTGATCGCCTGCCTTCTGAAGCTTACACCATCCTCCATTTTTAGCTCAGAATTTCGCAGTTTGCAACGCCTGGATATGTCCATAGCCTGATGAATATGGTGAGAAATTCATGTTAAGATCATTGCTGTTAAGGGCCTCAAACGACATTGGAAATTTCGCCGTTTGCAATCACCATAACTTTCGGCCAGACAACAGTTAACAAACTGCGAAACAATTTGGAGCTGATTTTTAAGTAAAATTGGAGGTTTTTGTTATACTAAGGAAAATTGGGTGAGGCGTGAACAGCAGGTCCGCATGACCTGGGTTTACGATAGAAGAATCTGGTGTTACGCCCTGTAAGGCACTTTGAAATGTCACAATTTGGGTTTTATCTGGTTTTGGGCAAATTTTGGCACACCTCATCTCGAGTACTTGTTGGCATCATTTACTGCAGCGTATGTAGGTGTGATTGGTTGGGATCATTTTCGGTGTTGTTATGAAAACAGAATGTAATATCAACGATACACATGAAAGAAGAGGTTGCAGGAATCCAATTCCCTTTCTCTTGCAACACGGCACTCTATGCTTCTTTCAAGTTCTATTATAGACTAAAGTGTGGTTTCTCTATTGTTCTACACTGGAAGATCTTTACGTTGAAACGAAATTACGGTCAATGCCAGATTATACCGTCATTTTGGAGCTAGCTGCTGAATCAGACTAACAGCCGACTTATCTGATTGTCCTATATTGTCTTTTCGCTACATCCTACACGTGTATTATGCTTCCCTTTGCCGTCACAACTAACTGATTAGATGCGTTTTCGTTTCAACAGTGACGTTGGCGATACAGATGACGCGAAGGAGAAAAAGGTCGAGGTTAATCATACAATGAAACGGCACGTAGACAACGAATTTTCCAGTACAGAAGCGCCTTTAAAAAAGCGAAGGAAGTTGGAAGGGAGTCATTTATGATGATGGCAAGTGTATATCAGTAAACTCTCTGTGTAGTGTATGACGATTGGCTTGTGTTTGCGCTTTTTAAGGGAGGTGTATTTTAAACAGTTAAAAGGGGCGGTGTAATTCGCTTGTCATAGTTTGGTGACCCACTCCTTCCCTCGCAGGGGCGCTGAAATCTGACGAATCCGCTGAGAAGGCCGTGGCAAAGGGGAAGTTTCCACCAACTGCGGCTCGCAGAAACTGGTGCGGTGAAACGAAGGGAAGATAGATATTGTTGAATTTTCTACGATGGTTTATTTATTGCCAAGGTACTTTAACCGCGTAGAATGTTCTCCTTCCATCTTAGTGCCATGATTGAGCAATATTCCTCGTCTACTTAAATTATAATGGCAGCACGGTATTGTTATCAGTTTTTATTCAATTGCGACCTGCATGGGTCTGTATTCCATTTACAACGCAGAAACAAACCTCCTACTTAATGCGATTATAAGTAGCACACGCGGCAGCCAAAGATGGGTTATTTTTCTGGTGTGAAAGTAGTTTCCTGTGTTTATTTCTATGTGGTCTCTGAACTCATGTTCGGACGTAGGTTTTTCTTACTCAAGTCCTGTCTGGGTGCGTCAGGGCTATGCTACGGAATTCGTATATGAGTAGCAGGTCAGCAATTGCCACTGTCACCAATTTAGTGGCTGGGAGTGGTTGAGATCGTCGCTTTGTGGTATTCTAGCTGTCTGCCCTTGCTGCTTTTCTACAATTCTTCATCGGTTGCTGGTCGAAAAAGCTGACTGACCTTCATCGAGTGAAGAGCTTTGAATTAGCAAGGTGATAGTGCATTCAAAAGCATAGAAAAGTTGCAGCCCACTCAAAACATGAAACACACGAAGTGACGCAGATCTATGTAGGGGATGTGGGTGTTTGTTTTATTAAAGGTGTAGTTGGATGCAAGTGGTAGTGACGATTCTGTTGAAAGTACCTTCAGCCCGGGTTAAGTTCCATCATTAGCAGGTGGAATACCACCACCACAATGAAAGCATTCTGAAAGGTTGACAAGAGTTGGTTATTTTTTGCTCCATCATTCGGTGTAAAGGCTATGACGAAGAGGAGTCTGTAAATCACCTGTAATAGAAGCGCAGCAGTGGATAAGCACAGTAAGAACTTCGCATAGGCCGCAGTACATGCAGTAAGCTTGCCTTTGCAACCTGGCACTGCATCTGCCTTTGCATCCCATGTACTAGAAATGAACTCAGATTTGCAGCGATCTCTGAGCAACCACCTTGTCTCCTCTCCTAAGAACAAAGCAAAGCTGTAAAATTCCTCCTCCATTCAAGAAGTCAACTCGGGAGATTTGTCTTTGAACTCACCAAAATCACTGCAATCGTTTATGCCGCAGCATGTACTGTAATTGCGGCCGTTGCATTCCACTTCTTTCTGTCATAAGGAGGAGGAGGGAATGCATACAAACATCCACGAACCACATTTAGAAGGCGTAACAAGGCGAGTCAAAGTGTTTTGATGCTTCTTACCTCCATGACTGCCTTCCAGATCGACCTAGCCATCGGATTACTGTCATACTCCTGAAGAAGTTTTTTCATGGTACGAAGAAGTGGTGCCGCAAGCTTGTTAGGATGGGCCATGTGTACGGCAAGAACAACCACTTCAACGAAGAGCAGGATAATCAGAACAGCGGTATACTAAGAAAAAGAAGCAAAATTCTATGTTTTAAGCTGATTGTAAGGCTTTATTTGACGCTCCAGCCCTTTTTTTATCCCCAAAATGTTCCCTGCGTTCATCATTAACGTCAGCATGGGTAAAAGTAGTGAAGAGGCAGGCCGATCTAGTTGCCGTACTTCTTGTGGGTTACTTTTGGACCGGGGGGAAGGAGGAGGAAGAGGAATGGGTCCAAACAGCGTTTAGTGGACCCGCTTCTGCACGCTGGCCTCATTGAGCTGGCAGACAGGAGACGAATCATATAATTTGTATTTTGTTGATAAGATGACCTATAAGCTCGCATTTAAGTCCTTGCTCTGCTTCCTAACCGGTGGGTACATTCGGGAACATTCATCACTACTAGGTTAGGATGCAGCATTATGGCAGTGGATGTGACGATATGGGAGACACGAGAGTATCAAAGCAAAGTGGCACATCAGTCGAGAACAGCGGTAATAAGGACCCAAATATGCTTCAACAAAATCAACGATTTTCTACGCCCTTACTAATTTAAGTAGTATTCTCCACTTCTTCCTCGCTGAAATGCACCCGATCAGAGAAAGAGCTGCCATGACGAAGCTAATCAGAATGAGGAACCAACTGACATCATCTGTAGGGGATGGCAAAGGATAAATCACTTTATACGACGAAAAAATGTTAATAATTGTTTTAAAGGCATCGCTTACCATTTTTAACGGCAAAGTGGGCCAGCTCCCTCAAATTACTCTCACTGATTGTAAACTTCTCCATAAGGTTGTTTACAAGGTTCCATGCCAGGGAATCAGAGGCTTTTAGAGCAATGCCAAACAAGGCTGTGGCTAGGAAAGTACCCTGAAAAATACAAAGACAAGAAACCTTACCATTGACTTATAGCATTTACTGCAACGACTACATCTTAACCGCTTACACAGATGATGGCACTGGAAATTGACATCAGGTGCAGCATAATGTCGATGCTGTTGAAGTCAAAGAGATAATATGAGTTCAGCCCAAAAAAATTTGTCTCACCACAAATAGACACAAGGCTACCGACTCACCTAAATTGAGGAGTCTGCGAGGTGCAGCAATGAGGCAAGAAGATGTGTGCAAACAGTCTTACCGCGCCTCTACACAAATGGTTTTTGTATGCGATAGATGTGTTGGATAGAGTAATGTGAATCAGACGACACTGTCGATTGCGATTGGTAAATCTCCTGCTCTACAATCGCTTCGGTGAGTCACTCGGAGCCATTTTCCATTGTATATATGTCGAAGAAATGAGTACTCGTGTATTGAAGTGGGTTGTTAGATGTTCTAGCAACGGATTCTACAGCCATTCACTTTATAGTGTTGTCGGGCTTTGATACTGCCACTGCAAATTTAGTTAAGCGAGGCATCTTCTACTATTAAATTTGTCTGTGGGAAGGCGAAGTTGTAGAAATGGCTCTTAAGAGAGGAAAAAAGGGCTTATCGCCTTATGCAATCCCTTGGTTGAATATAAACTTAACTCAAGTTTCCTTTATTGTAATTGCATTATGGACGCCTAGCGCTACTTATAAGCCGAATGAGTAGCATAGCATTACTCCCATGCAGGGCGAGTAGACCATTCCAAAAGCTGTCATAAGGCATAGCATTTTACCCAATCATTTGATGAAGCATTATCTTCTTCAAGGAGAACAAGGCATATAATTACACATTAGCTGTTATATTCTACTAATCGTACAATAAGTAGGATGTGTCGCTACAACTGTCGGCCACAAAGGGCACGTAACAATAAATTTTTTATCACTGGAATGCAAGTCGATAACTCTGGCCGCATAAACTGGTAATTTTGTCTTATAATGACCTTTTCAAATGATTTATGAAATATCAGCCTAGTAGACAGTCGTAAACGCCCTAGTTATGCTGATGTTGTGACTGGTTTGCACCTCTCATGGTGATACTCCACCCATTACCCGATAGAGTGCTATCGCCCCACTCTCCTGCTGCTATTCCCTTCGACGTACCTGCTAAGCCATTAGTCTTTGACACTGAGAACCAATAGGCACATCTTGACTTCGACTTACACAGAAATGAAGAGCACGATGACGGCGCTAACCTACTTAACTGTCCTCAACATTCATTCTGAATGCTATAATGGTTTTAAGTTGTTTATTTGCTCCAACCACAGTAGGGCTAGTGACAAGTAAGTCGACTACATTTTTAAGTTTTGAGAGTAATCGCAAATAGCGCGCTAAAATAAAGCAAGCGGAATTGAACGCGCCGGCACTGGTTCATTTCGGTAGGCTTGTGTACACACACCTTCTCACCACCTCGTTTAAAGTCACCAACAAGAATATTTATGCATCCAATGACGTCCACACTGATATTGTGAAAATGAGGCGAGCTTGGTCTCCAGTTGGCATTGAAATGAAAATAAAAACAACGACCAACAACCCGTCCATAGGGGAGTTTCAAAGGCTGGCAAGTACTATGCTAAATGAAAATATATTCTTCGCCAAAAATTGAAGATTTTTCAGTCCATATTTGTGAATAAAATGCAAAAGAAAAGCTGGGAGACTTAACAAATGCGTCTCGAATCAAAAAGAAGCCACTAGGAGGCAATGTCGAAGAGAAGGAAGTAAATTCCTGTTAAGGACAGGACAAAGCCCTGAACAGTATCGGTGTCGGGACAACACGAAAGGGAAGATTTGAAATTATCGCACAGCCGTGCATCGGAAATAGTTTCAGCACACTCCAGAGTGTCCCTATGGACTCACTCGTCAATGTTCACTGACGTCCTACTAGCCAGTGGAAGGCAACATTGTCATTTATGCAGAATTTAAACTACCTACGTGAATGGATTAAGGCAATCGAGGCAAGGCGAAGAAGGAGTGAAAGAATGCACATCAGCTGTCTGCAATCAATGGAATCTGACTTTAGAAGAAGAAATGGGAAACCTTAAGTCCAAAACAGTTAGGACACAGACGGCACCACCGACTCCACCATCACCGAGGACTGGACCTGCTGCTCGAAGACAGAAAAGGAGTGAAGTAGGTGGTCAGGCTGCCGAAGGAGATAACAGTGAAATGAAGATTTTAGTGGATAAAAGCGTACAAATTCATCCTGAGATGATGGAAAAGAATACATCAATGAAGAGTTTTTGCATTCCAGCAGTGGCATTTGAAACTTGTTCCACAAATATGCCAATGCATAGAGATTATTCACTTTCTGAGATTCTCACCTCCGTAGATGATCACAATTTTCTGGATTTTGCCAAGTCTACAGGTAGTTTTGAAGAAGAGCTGCTTGCGGACATCTTGGTGGACGCAACGTCCTTCACAAGCGATGAACTAGATCCCTGTGTTGATGTGGTGCAGTGTCTAAATCAACTCCTTGTTGATTTGGAGGAACGATCCCTCGAAAAGATGCTATTTGGCACCTCTACCGTTTCCGCAATGAATAAACGTCCGCTTCAGCCAACACCAGTAGCTGCATGTGCCAAACGGCGAAGAATTGAGACAAATGATGACTATGGAAGCAAGGTTTTTGACACAATTTTTGCGGATAAATAAAAATTTAGCACAAAATTGAAAAGATTCATTGCTCAAATAATCGAACTTTGTCACTTAATGCTTGAACACACACAGTATTTAGCGACATCTGTTTGAGAGGTACAACTACAATAAAAGCAGGGAAGAGAGTTATAACCCAACGTAATAATTTTTTACTTGACAGCTTGACGTTTGGGAGTCATTTTAGGATTTTTCTGACCCTTGTACTCGTGGGCTGGCCTTCGGGTCATGCTCAGACCCATTTGTCCTGTCGTCTTCAGAATACATGTATCCATCTGCACTTAATACCTTCTTCCACCCGGTGGGTAGTCTCGGGACGCAACGCTCAACATTTTAAGAGACTGGGATTTTTCTAATTTTTTTTGCGCCCTTAAAAATATAGGAGTGGTACTGTCCTCTGTGTACACGAATTTGTCAAAGACCATCGAAAATCCTCGTTTATTGTGCTTACTAAATGTGGAAGTCACTGAGCATTCGCGGGGTAATCTATCATTTGAAACCATACGGAAACTACAAAGATCTAGGTTATGTGTGCAGTAACTATTCTTCATGCATATAAATGCCTGGGTACGCCCCCTGCGAAACAGGACGGAAGGCAAGAAAAGCAAATTACATTTGACAAAATAAATGCAACCCAAAAACAATCTTTAAATCTCTCTACATTTTTACAGTACTGTTGTAAATATTGCAATACTTTGCTAATGTGACCGCCTGATGCCTAGCGGTTGACTTTGGATTTGTCCCGTCTTTGTAGGCGAGATCTAGCCGTAGAGTCAAGCGAATCACTGGTTCATTCTTAACTCTTAAACTGCATGTAATTAGCCCTAGTTAATGCCTTTTCCTACAGTAGGATGTCTTAAGTGCAGCGTCTCGAGACTTCCCTCCGAGTGGAAAAAGCCAGTAAGTGTAGACAGATACATGTATTACAAAGAGAACAAAAAAGGTTCTGAGCATGGCCTTAAGTATGGCCCACAAGTACATAGTCAGACAAAGCCTAAAGTGGCTGCCAAATGTCGTGTGGTCCCATAAACGAACCATTACATAAAGGAACTACAAAGATAATCTTTGCTTAGTTATTCTGAATATTTAAGGGAAAATTTGTTAAACATACTAATGGTTTGGTTCTAAATCAGAGCTTAGTTCTTATTGGAAGTATTACAATAAATATCGAATTAGCTGAGGTATCCGTTTCAATAAATACACATATATCCGAACCAATAATATTTGAGGTGGTCATTACGAAGGTGGGTTTTGAGCAATTATCATGACCTCGACAACGATGGCGAAATGTCCGACTGTGGAGGCCTTAATTGAGAAGGTATTCATGATTTATGCTTTCATACTTCAATATTTAGATGGATTCTCCTGACATGGATTTCAGATTCATGGCTCTAAATGACCTGATCGTTGGCATTCAATCTCAGTCGTTAACTCGGAATATTTTGAGCCCTAAGGTAAGTCATAACTTTGTAACGACCGAGGAATCCTTACCTTAAATTTAATAGCTTGTTCAAAAGACTCTTCAGCTCCTTGAAGATGTTAATGGAGAGGTACAAACTTTGGCTGTCAACGCGTATGTTTCTTTGGTTGTAATTATTTCCCATTCTAGCGTTTCGGCTTTGTTTCCGGTGGTATTGGAAAGTGAGCGCTCTATGATTGTGGAAGCAGTCGTTGCTGGGTTGTTTCACTCTGACAATGAGCGCTTCAGGAGTGTGTCCATTTTAGGTATGTTGATCGATTTCGAATTTAAACTCTTGTATAGCTCTGAGGGCAATGGTTAATGCAACGCCTCCAGATAACATCAAACTTATATGCATTCTTGCTACTCGTTCGATTCCAACTCTTATTGAGTCGGTCCGTAGTGGTAATTCCATTCAAGTTGAATGCTGCGAAATTCTTGGAGATATGGTTTCGAGGTATGTTAAACTCTTCTACGGCCTTGCTACTGCCATTTTAGTATGTTTTTATAAACATTGTTGTTTTTTTCTCCTTCAAGGTTCGGCGAAAACCTATTACCCTTCCATCCCAATATTGTGAAGTGCATGTTCCAAGCTCTGAATAGTTCGCAACCGTCTCTACGCAAACGCGCTGTTCAAATGGTCACAAACTTTCTTTCCTTTGAAGACACTTACGCTACTCTGCTTGCATTTGTAAAAGACCGATTTGAAAATGTACTAAATCGGGCTGGGCTTGGAACAAACCCCGATCAGCAGCAAGTTTCAAAGGGAGAGGAGGAACTGACCATATCGTACTTTAAAATTGCACTTCAGTGTCTCGTCGCATTAGCGTAGGTCATTTTAATTTGACTAAAATATGTATTTTCATCTCATTAGTCTACATTACTTATTTGTGAAATTTTAATGGCCCCTATTTTACTTATCCAATTGTTAATCATCCGATAGCATCCGAATTTTTTTTTGACCATGGTTTTTTGAACGATGTTCAAAGTTTACTGTGAGCTTTAAAGTGCTAAAAATAACAGTTCCTTGGATGTCTCAAATGATTTTTGGCGTTCCTAAGTTTCCATGTATAGTACACTCTTAAGACAGCTTTACCTTTTTATCAGTTTTAAATTTTCGGAGGCTCTTTGAGGTCGCTTTGTTCCATTCCACATTTTTTGGGATCTGCGGTTCCCTGAAAATACCTCGAAGTTAGGAAGATTTCCGCGTCACCTATGGCTGCTTGCTACTTTATGTTCGAGCCAAATTGACAGTGGCATTGCCTACCTCATTCTAACTGGAATAAAGGAAATGGTAAATGGCAGAATAAATAAGCTGGTTATGCGAATAGGGTTTCATTGGTTTGGGCTAATAAAATGGAGTTCACGTCATTTTTGCGCATGTTCGCGTATCTGTGTTTGATGACCTGCAAATCTTGCATGAGATATGCTCAGAGCCAAGATCTTTGGCTGATTGGTAACCCTTTTGCGGTTGTTAAGACCCGTTTTGAGGAAAATCTGTTGGAATTTTGGGGCTTGTTTAATATCCTATTTCTTTATCTAACTGTTCCAAAGTTGCTTGACGGTGTTGTTTACACAAACTGCTTCTTCCTTTTGAGTTTTGAGCAATGAATTCAATAATCTTGTTTCGTCTGTTTTTGGGATGTTTGAACCCTTTTCTATCGGGTGCCTGGTACGTCTTCATGATATTTGTGACTGTTTCATTTCTTCCGATTCCTTCGAATTCGAAATAGTCATGAGAGTACTTTGAATGTTTCCCTTTTTCTCGACTCGGTAATTGCTGCTCGCTTGTTGAGCCTCCGTCTTATTGACGCCGTGCGGACCAAGTCTTAACGAAATCACTTCCTACTACATTACGGTGTTTCTTTTATGCACGGTTCTTAAAAGATAGAGGTAAATTTGAAACCTGTTTTGGATGTCTCTTTATTTGAGACGCAAAAAAATCGTGCCAAATAAAGGCCTTTCTTCCTCTCAGTCGCAATGCGGAATGCCTCGCTTCCCAGGCCTCAGATCTCCTGTGCAACGGGCTAATTCTTCACCTCCTGGACGGCAACATAAACGACACCATTATGCCTCACTTGAAACGCGAGTTTGGTGATTTCTACCCAGCCGATGCTGCTAACGAATTCAGAGAATTGGGTCTACAATGCCTTGACAACCTGCTTCGGGCACGTCAGCGTACTGCCACGCAGTCTTCACATCTGTCTCGTTTGTTGGATACAAACTTCCAGAAGGTAAGAAGATTGGAACCTTGAAGTGGCTACTGAAATTCTGCAGAGGCTTTCGGGTAAATGTAAGCCTACGTACGTATAAAAGGAAGGATTTTGATGCGTGGATGGCTTTTATAGAATTGAACGTGTCACGGTGTACCCCTAAACTAGGTCAGAGTGGAGTCTAGGTTGTAATTGAGAAATTTCATTATGCTCTTGTAGTCAAATCGGTGCCATAATAACTGATTTTGTATTCTTGTTGTTGTAGATTGCTTATGTTCTGGCCTCTATGGTATCTTACGATCCCAACTGCGTTTCAACTCATGCGTGAGTTTGATTATGCATTCGCGATCCCCTTGTAGTTCCATTGATTGTGGAGGTAAGAAGTCGCTCTCATGCCTCCATTGTTACGGTTGAAAGCATAGTGACACTCGCTGTTTTTGTCGTGTGGATGCTTCTGGCCCTGTCGACCATCCACCTGTCCCGTGCCCTTCATGGATCTGTCCTGTCATCCACTTTGAGTTACTTTCCAAGCCCATTTCTTCATTTCTTTTTTGTTAGTGTAGGTGTGTTTAGTGGGCGTTTCACTTCTCAAGGGCTGGCAAATCACTTTGCAGCTTTCTCCCATTGTAGTTACCTGTTGAAATTCATCAAAGGTGTCGACTCTTCAGAACCTCAAGATTCCTCTCCTAGGTAACACTTTTTGCTCTTGCATTTTGGAGGAACGTTCCACGCTCTCTTTGCATAACCCACTAATTTTTCTCGTGACAACTGCTGCTAATGGGTGGAGTCGCGGAGACTGCTATTGATTTGCCTTCAAGAAAACATGTTCTTCATCGAGTGTTCCAGTTCACACAGATGGCATATCCTGTAGGGATCCTCTAGGGTAGACATGACTGTCCATTACTCTCCCCGTTTGAAGAGCTCGTAACGTCCCTTGGGTTTCATTCAGAAATCCACGCGTTGATGAGTAAGTAGACAAGGTGTTGGGTATTCCTAGATCAATTACTAACTCTATTATGTTGAGAATGCTGTCTACAAAGGCCAAACTTGCAAGGGAGGGCTCCAAGTCTGCGGCACAAAATGGGGCGAATATTTGATGTACTAAAAGTTGGTTAAAACTTCATCGGAAGCAGGTTTAACCTGCTGTGTACCTCTTCGTAATAGCTGATGCTTTTGGAGGGGTGGGGGGTGGGGAGGAGGAGGAGGAGACGGCGGTGTAACCGTTAGGTTGAGTAATTGAATCTTCTCGCCGTGAGTGATGAAGGTGGGCATCCGTTTGTGTCTCAGCAGAGTCAATCATCGAGACAATTACGTTGAAAATGTGAAGCAATGTCAATAAGAACAGTGAGGCAACTCTACTAGAGGTCAAACAGTAGAAAGCTGTGGTTTTGCTGAATGTGGATCGCTGATAGGTACTACCTATTGAAAACTTTTAACTTTCACTGCAGCACGGTTGTATTGGGTAGCAGTGGCGATGACGACGATTCAAAGGACGCTGATGATGATGACGCCCATCCTGAGAGCATGGATTATGAGGATATGGATGGAGATGACGGTGACGACGAGGAGGAGGACGATGAGGATGATGATACGAGTTGGAAGGTTCGACGTACTGCGGCCAAAGTGATGGATACGTGTGTTCAAGCCTATCAGGAGAAGCTGGGACACTTTTACGCCTACTTCGCTCCCGTACTCATCACTCGTCTATCCGGTGAGTCCACGGTTGTCTCATATCTGCTTAAAACTATCAGTACTAGAATCAGTGACTGCCAGTTTGATTTTCTTTGTGCAGAGGATCGAAATGAGTCGGCACGGCTGGAGCTTTTTAGCTGTTTGAACTCCATGGTAAGAGCCACAACATTAAAGAATCCAAACAGCCTGACCATTCGCCTTGGTCAACAGAGGTAAGAGTAAAGGATTGCAGTTGAGAGATGCTGATTACTTGCAGAAGTGAAGTAAATTTTTCACTGTTACCCTGCTGTCTCCTCCATCCAGTGCTCAGTCCATGCTTCTGCGACTCCTGCCAGGCATCTTCCAGAACATCCAGCCATTCATTTCAGCCTCCTCGCCCAAGCGTAGCAGATCTCAAATGAGCAGTTATTGCGTAAAAGTAAGTCATCTCTTCATCTTCCTATACTGATAACAGCTTACTGCTTCGAGGGGGGGGCTCTTATTTCAGTGCATGGGGATTTTCTGTCCTCTTCTCCCTCAATCTGTTTGCTGCAACCCATTTAAGCCATGCATTTTAAGCCGCAGCTACGATGCAGTGGATTAATTTCAATTTGCAGAGCACTTTCAAGCGGTGGAGGGATTTTCTTCTCCCTCACGAACTAATCGGCAATCGTACTTATCTGAACGTTTTGGTTTCCTCACGTAGTACCATCTGATCTTCACTTTTTTTAACTCTGCAGTTGTTCAGCATTCACTTGATTGATCGTTCTACTTTTTGTCAATCTGTTTGGATGCCTGATTGAGCGATAAAATTTGTGACTGTGACGCATTAAACTGCTCCCTACTACTAATAGACGTTATTCATTTACGAGACTTACAACCCTCTACATAGTGTCTTTCGTTGTTCCCCTTACCTACCCATAGACGACTCCTGCTTCCCACCAGGCGGTGGTGAATCTCATTCGTGCACTAGCGACTGCCTTACCCGGCCATCTCACTGCTCACTTGCCAACCATCGTGCTGATGGTGAAGGGTGATCTCAGGTGAGGAGTAAATAAATTTTCCCCAATCTACTTATTAC